ACCACTATCTTAGCGGCCATGAGCAATCTATCGCCAGATCCCGCAACCCATTCATAGAAACCGCTCTGACATACGCATTAACATATATCCACGCCCTCCTCCCAAAGACTCTCATCCAACCCTCCAGCATCCGCATTCTAGCTGATCAAGCTTATTACTCCAACCCAGGCGTCACCCGTAGCTCCAACCAAATCTCCCAGCCGCACAAAGTTTCTCGTTTCCAGGACTTCAACGTGAGCTTGAAGGAGGCGCATAAGACGGGATTGGGAAGTAGCGCAGCACTGGTCACAAGTTTTACGGCAGCAGTACTAGGATTCTACCTTCCAAAAGACCTGTTCGACGTACGAACAGAAAAGGGCCAAACTATCCTCCACAATCTTGCTCAAGCCTCTCACTCGCATGCTCAAGGCAAAGTCGGAAGCGGTTTTGACATCGCCTCTGCCGTCTTCGGATCATGCCTATACAAGCGTTTCTCGCCGTCCCTCCTGGGTAACCTACCTCAGCCTAGCAGTCCGGGTTTCGCAACACAGTTGCGTTCCTTAGTCGAAGGGCCGACATGGGACACTGAGATACAGAAAGCTGCTATTAAGATGCCCGAGGGTCTGCGACTGGTCATGTGCGACGTCGATTGCGGAAGTGAAACACCGGGTATGGTCAAAAAAGTCCTCGCCTGGAGAGCACAGAAACCAGAAGAAGCGGAGAAGATCTGGAAAGAGCTACAACGCGGCAATGAGGCCCTAGCTGCTGAGCTTACGCGTCTGGCGACAGAGGTACAAGGCGACAATGCATCGAAACATGACACCCTGAGGAAGATCATCGATGGCAACCGCGCTTTGATTCGCGACATGGGCGAGAAGTCAGGTGTGCCTATTGAGCCGCCTCAGCAAACACGTCTGCTAGACTATTGCTCGAAACTGGACGGTGTTGTTGGCGGCGTCGTACCCGGCGCTGGTGGTTTCGATGCTATTGTCTTACTTGTGGAGGACAAAGAGGCCATCATCGAATCGCTCAAGACTTCTCTTGCGGAGTACAAAGACCCAGAGGCAATTGGCAGGGTCGGTGTTATAGGTGTAAGGGAAGAAATGGTGGGCGTTAAAGAGGAAGAGCTGAGTCTGTACAAGGAGTGGGAGGCAGCTTCTTGAAGAGTACAAGAGTGTGGAGAGGTCTTGTGTCGTATGAGAAGGTGTTGTGATTGAGATTGTTGGCTGATGAATGTGGTTGATATGTATGTCTGACAGGCGAGCATTGTCCTCTTAGTTTAAGCGCAAAAGTTCTGTCAATAGAGGTATCGCATATATCCACCAATACGGCAAAGACTAAATGCATAGCCAGCGCATTAGAAAAACAGTAACCTAGCGCTAGCAAAATTGGTCAATTCGTAAGGGCTACATTACCCAGGTTGCATGCTTTCAGTAGGTCATAATTCGTACTTCAGGCGCATCGGACGTTGCTCATGGAATCGTGGAAACAAGGTAGATTCCTTTCACAAATCATGAGGTATCATTCCGTGCTTGTCTGAACTTTTTATTCATAGATCTTGACATGGACGCCAACCCATTTCCGTTAAAGATCGCCCTGTCCGTCCATTCCCATCTGCTATCCCACCTTCCTGGCCCCGTTGGAGTATGGTACTAAGGGTACACTGGTGAGTCGCTAGCTGGAAAAGCCCCGGCAATGCAATGCTTCATGAGAGACAAAGGAAGAAAAGAGGAAACACCTTCACGAAAGCACGCTTATGCCTTGACGGCGTACTTTCGCTGGGGGAAGTGTGTGTTCCTCTTCTTCTGCTTCTCAGTGACGAGCGAAGCCTCGTGCTTGGTGAGTCTTCGGCGGATGGCGCGGGTCTGCTTGGGGCGGAGGTCAAGAGGAGTGTACCTAGGCAATGTTAGAAACTTGTCCTGGAGCTTCCAAGTCGGCCTAAACGCACTTCTTGCCCTTGTAGAAGAGCCTGAGCTGAGCCCTCTGGTTGGCGTTGATGACAGTAAGGACCTTGGCGATTCCCTTGCGGACGTCATGAATGCGGGTGAGCTTGGTGTTGGAGCCACCGGTGACCTTGGCGGTCCTGAGCTGGATCAACTCCCTTTACATCCGTCAGCATTCCGTCTTCCCTGCCAGTGTTCCGTGTTCGGCGACATACGACTTGAGGTCGGTGAGCTGGGACGCGAGCTCATCCTTGGACTTGTTCCACAGCTGGGCGGTCTTCTGCGGTGGTTGTGAGCACGAAATCGGACAGTGGTGTTTGCGCGAGCGAGGGTGTACGTACGACCTTGGGAGTAGACTGGAGGCATCAAGTCAGCACATGTTCTCTCAATCGTGAAATCTCAAATCCTGCGCAGCACCACTAGCGGAGGGTGCAACAGCCTGACCCCTCCACTGTCGGCGGTCCAGGACTGCGCGACGCATTTCTCGTGCTGAACAGATAATTGAGAGCATAGACATACCATTTTGACTGTGTGTTAGTAGGACCGGGTGATGTGGATGGGGTCTCGCGTGTCGTCAACGAAATACTTTTGGTGTTGTCCACAGGTCGAATTCGACTGTGGCCGCTAAACTATTCGCACTATCCCTACGATGGACTAGCGCCTTGGCCGTGCATTGCGTAGCCCGCGCCAGGGCAGGTGCGACCCTCATCATGCCAGAAGTCCAAGGTCCATTGTTGCCGCCTCTGCCTGTAAAGATACCATACTGCTCGAAATGTCTTCTACTGGAGGTGGATGGGCGCAACTGCGTCAGCAAGCGCGCACTCTTGAACAACAAGTGGGTTTTATTCACTGCTGCGAAAGACTTGGTCGGCTTTCGCTGCATCCCTGCTAACAAGGCATGGTAGACAGAGACGCTGTTCCACACATACTCGCAGTTCGGTTCGACGCCAAACATCCCCGCAAAGCCCTCAGAAGAAGAGTTGCGCGTCGAGACTAGGCTACAGGAGATTCTTGAGCAAAGAGATGGACTTGTCGGCCAGCTGTCACGGCTCCTCGACTCCGAATCGGCACACGGCTCCTCGGCTGTGAAGCAGAACAATCTTGCCAGACATCGCGAAGTACTTTCAGATCACCGTCGCGAGCTCGCGCGCTTAAAGGCCACCCTCAATGATGCCCGTAATCGAGCAAACCTCCTCTCCAATGTACGATCGGACATCGATGCATACCGGTCTGCGAACCCAGAGCAGGCGGAGGCTGACTACATGCTTGACGAGAGAAATCGCATCGACAACTCGCACAACGTGGCCGACTCGGTTCTCAGCCAGGCATACGCTGTGCAAGAGAACTTCAGCCTGCAAAGGGAAACGTTGACAAGCATCAACCGGAGAATCGTGGGCGCAGCAAGTCAAGTGCCAGGCATCAACAGTTTAATTGGAAGGATTGGGACAAAGAAGCGCAGAGACGGCATCATACTGGGTAGCTTCATCGCGTTCTGCTTCTTGATGCTGCTATGGTTCAGGTAGGCTGGAGTTGCACATCTTCATTTTGGGCGTTCAAGCGGGCTGGATATCCTCATGACTTTCATTAGCATGCTATGCGCAAGGCGTCTTGGGCCTGTATGATTACAGTTATGTTTCCAGAGATTTCGGGTATCGTGGGAATTGGAGTCTTCCGTATGCTGTACAAGATATCGTTACATGTCGTCATTATACCTCCCCAATATAGGCGTTGCAGAAAGCACTATCGGGCTTCAGAGACCATCTTCGCAAAACCCCGGTTCATGTCCTCCATCTCTGTCCCTTCCGCGTCCCCGCTACCCGCCCATCGAATCTTGCAGTCTTGGTCTACGAGATAGACATAGCCGACTCTGCCGTTTAATAACCCGATAGTCTCCCTTATCCTCTCACTAACACCTCTCTTTACAATAAAGTACTTTCCCCAATCCTCCTTTGCTTTAGAGGCCTTCAAGCGCCACTGGAACAAAGATATGATCATTGCTTTCATGCTGTTCTCTTCGATATTGATATCCACCATCTGCGCAACGCCCGGGTTTTGTGCAAGAATATCGTGCAGCCCAGCATTCGTTTGCTTTCCTGTGAATGTGTCCACCTGGCGTACTCCCCAATCTGAACTAAACACATTCACAACACTAATCTTGCCGTTGAGCACGTCTGTAGTGTCCTTGTCCTTTCCCTCCAGTGTATCTCCGTGAAAGTTGGGAAAGTACAGCGCAGCATCTTTCTTGAAGATTCTCGGGTTTGCCATGAATGTCTTTCCTGATCTGTACTTGCGGATATTCTTAAAGTCACGGAAGTAGTTCGTGCCCCACTTCTCCACAAGGTCTTTGCGCTTCTCGAGGTTCCGTTGCGACATACTCATGCCGGAGTAATCTTTTTTGGTCTTGGGGTTGCTAGTGTTTTCGCCCGGTTGCGGAGGTCTGCTGAAACCGATGGGGCGGCCGAGAGGCTTCGGGATGAATATGTCTTCATCTTTGGGGTCGGGAGCGGGTGAGCCCGGGGTGGGCTTGGGAGCTGTTTCTTGCTGGCGCAGAGTATGTATCGAGGTGAATGGTCGAGTGGATGGTTGCCTTGCAATTGAGGATATTGCAAGTCGACCCTGACACCTTACGCAGATCGACGAGACATCAAGGAACGTGCGTCGCAATGGCGTTATTATCCGTGGTTGCAGCATTTTGGATGGGGAATATCTGTGTCCCGCCAAACTCGAGAAATGACGAGAGCAAGCCTCGAGCTAGTATCAATGCGGCCAAAGTGCCACGTGCTTTCGCGTCAACTGACATCCCTGTACGCGCTGCTGCCTCGGTCATATTCCACGACTCTTTCACCTGCATATTGCCAGGTAACCGCAAGTATGACGAACGGTGCCTGCGATCAATATACAGGGTTCTATATTGGGCAAATAGGTCTTCGCAGTTGTCGCTCTTGACCACCTCGCACCCATCACGCTCAACATTGAACGACTTCAAATGGAGCCGTGCCGTTGTCACTAACGACCCAGATTGAGTCAACATCACTGTAGTCGCAAAGACTCGACCACTGAACTACAGAATCCTCTACAATGCCAGACTCCGAGCTTGCAGCCAAGGAAGCCTACTTCAAAGAACACGAACTCATGGATACGTCCAACGATGCACAAGACACCCTGGACAACAGCGCGAATAAGCTCGAACAAGCACTAAGAGAATCGAGATCCACAAGACCCACATCCCTCACAAGACAAACAAGTAGCTTTCTTGGACTGACACCAAGAGAGGCGTTCGAGGCGCATACAAGGAAACTACGCGAGACAGAGCGACAGGCGGGCCATAAGCCGATGCGCTCACCTACGGCGCCCGAATCAGAACGTATCAGAGGCTCCCCAGCCACGAAACCACGCGGTAGGACAACGGCAACATCTGCTGGTCCTAAAATCAAGCTAAGAAGGGTATTGTCCTTACCTGAGACAGCTGACATAGATCTTACACCGTTCTACATTCGAGTAGGTGATGTTCCCCGAGAGTGCGGGAACAAGAGGAACCCTAAACCAGCGATCAACATTCAGCTGGATCCTGAGTACAAACAATATCTCAAGGGCAAAGTCGTATATTTCTACCCACCGAACGACGATATTCTCACAACTCGGAGACGTCGTATACACAAAGTAATACAACTTGGAGCCGCTTGGGTCAAAACATGGAGAGAAGACATCACACACGTCATCGTGGATGATGACCAGTACACATACATGAGCTTGTTGAAACATTTGAACATGCCAGGACTCCCCAAGGATATTGTACTAGTCAAGTACGAACCATATGTGCCGGAGTGTATACAATTCCGAGGGCTCCAAGACCCGAGCTGGCCACGGTTTGCTCCAAAAGGCGCGCCCAATAGCAGAAGACTCAAACAGCCGGCGCTGCAATCAAATGCTTCGGCCGCTTCGCAGACGCCGCTACAGGTCAAATCGTCAACACGACAGACGACTGCATGCTTGCAGAATACTGATTCACGCCCAGAAAAAGAAGATGTCCCTGCTACCCAGATCATTGCAGATACAGCTCCAACTGGCTCTTTGGACGAAACTGTTAGAGATAGTTTTGTCATGCTATCTTCGAGCCCCAAGAAAGCTACGCAACCAAAGGCTATCGATAAGTTCGACGATGATCTTTCTCGGGCTATAGTAGAAGCCAAAGCCACAGCACACTTGCCGCTGGAGGAGGACGAGGATGCAGAGTCTCCAGCAGCAAGCGGCATCGAGGATGTGGAGGACTCAGATACAGACGAAGAGCCCGTGGCAACGACTCCCAAACTACCGAATAAGTTTAATTTCATCTCGAAAGCATCAGCCCTACGTGAAAAGAAGCCCTTCAACCAAAACGTATTCCAGTGTATGGATCCGGGTGCTCAAGGCTATACGTCCCTGAATCCAAATGCCCGAACCATTGAGATCTTGGACCAGATGTGCAAATACTACGAGCAGATGCAGGACACATGGCGGCCGATAAGCTACCGCGAGTGCATAACTACATTGAAGAAGCAGACTACCAAGATCACCACTGCGAAACAAGCTGCAGCACTTCCTGGTATTGGTTTGCGACTGGCCGACAAGATTGAAGAGATTGTGCTCACCGATCGTCTTCGCAGACTGGAAAGTACTCAAGATGACCCTCTAGATTCAGTTCTCCGATTGTTTCTTGGTGTCTATGACGCTGGACTTGTTCAGGCTAATAAATGGATCCAAGCGGGTTATCGTACGCTCGACGATCTTCGAATCAAAGTGAAGCTTACCGAGAGCAACAAAGTCGGCGTAGAGCATTACGATCACTTCAACTCCAGGATACCACGCGCTGAGGTGGAAGCACACGGCGCCATCCTCGTCAAAGAATTGCAGAAGATCGATACCAAATTCAAAGCTACCATTATGGGTAGCTATCGCCGAGGCGCAAAAGACTCGGGCGATATCGATGTGATACTTACAAAACCCGGTACTTCGCTTGCCGCCATGCGGACAACGATATTCGAAGTCCTAGTCCCTCGTCTCTACAAGATTGGATTTTTGAAAGCATCCCTAGCGACTTCTCGATCCAACGACCCTACGGGGTCAAAGTGGCATGGAGCTTCTTGTCTCCCGACCTCAGAGGTCTGGCGCAGGATGGACTTTCTCCTTGTACCGGAAGAAGAAATGGGAGCTGCGCTGATATACTTCACTGGCAATGACATTTTCAATCGCAGCATCCGACTGTTGGCACGCAAGAAGAATATGAGGTTGAATCAAAGGGGGTTGTACAAGGACGTTCATCGAGGGAGAAGGGGTGAGAAGCTGAACGAGGGTGTCTTAGTAGAGGCTAGGAGTGAGAAAAAGATTTTCGAGGTGCTAGGTGTACCTTGGAGGGAGCCGCATGAGCGAATCTGCTAGGACTAGTAAGAGTAGTGACTGAGAGTCGTTCAAAAAGGCCTAGTAGGAGATAAAATACAGTCTATGTCTATCAATATCTTACACCGAGCTATCGATAGCCGCATACTGTTTCTTATTTGACGCTGTCGTGCTTGCATTGCCCTCTTGTAAATCTCCTCTTCCCTTCGCCGCCTCATCTGAGATATTGACATCCAGATCTTGCTTCTGCTCCGCAACTCTTCCAGTGCAGAGTGCGAGCATGTAAAAGTCATACAAGACTTTGCCCATCTCCGCTGGGCGTGCCGGTTCTCCTTCTTTGCCCTTCGTTGCCGATTTTCCGATCCACACATTGCCCAGAAAGCAGGACGCAACAATGGCTGCGGCAACAAAAGGCAACACGGAGATCAAAGACCACATCACTGCCTTGGCAGCCGCATTCTGTACTTCTGTCTTGACTGCTGCAGGAAGACTGTTCAAGAGCTCGAGGCTCGGTGGGCCAGTGGCAGGTAACGAGATACCGTTCCCAGGGTTGATTCTCGTCAGAAAAGTGGAAAGCTTGTTTGAAAAGACCGATCCCATCATTGCAATACCAACTGTCTCCCCCAGAGGCACCATGAAGGAAAGCAGCGATTGCATGCTGGCAATACGCGTTGACCAGATACCTGCTGCGTGAAGGGCAATGGGCATGAAGCGTAATCCTGTTCCTGCGCCTGATACAGCGAGGAACACTTTCACCAGTGTGATGTGGCGGATGGATATCGAGTAGGTGAGGAGTGCGAGACCGACCCCTTCAACAATGGAACCGATGAGCAAAGGAGAGAATGTTTGTCTTGGCCAACGGTTACATAGCATGGCTGCAACGTAGACACCTACACCTAGGCCAGGCGTATAGTAGAGGAGCTGTACACCGGCTTGACTGGATGAGTACCCCTCGGCAAGCTGCCAGTAGTAGGACAGGAAGTAGAAAGCGGAGACCATGGAGATACCAGCAGAGAAGTTGATGATCATAAGCAGCGTTGTGTCCTTCTTGCGGAAGAGTGTGGAGGGAATCATGGGAACTTGACGAGGAAAGAATCTGGCCATGGCCCGGCCAGGGCCTAGGAAGTACTCGTAGATGAAGAAAGCAATGCACAGGACAATGCCGACGATGAGAGAGACAATGACCGGGACCGAGCTCCAGGAATACTGTGTTCCGCCCCATTGTATGGCGAGGATTACGCAGCCTACTCCAAAGATGAACATGATTAGGCCGGGCCAGTCGATGATGGCGAGACCGGAGATATAGCCCAAACGGCGCGATTCGCCTGGTGCGGTTATGGCACGTCCTTGAGCGAGCTCCTTGCGCATGACGAAGAAGATGATGACCATGGCAATCACTGCGACGCCGATTGGGAGGACGAATATGTATCGCCAACTCGCATCTGCAAGGTAGCCACCGATGACTGGGCCGACAGCATAACTAGTTCAACATGATCAGTACAAGTTCCTCAGTCGAATCGAGTGAGAACTTACCTGCATCCCATGATCAATGATAGGACTGAGGTACTTCTCGAATTCTCCGCCAGTGTTGATCCGTCAGACACAATGACACGACTCAAACTCACGATGCCAGCAGCGCCTAAGCCTTGCAACGCACGGCCCGCAAGCAACATGCTCCAAGACTGGGCGGTAGCACAGATCACACTCCCTATCATGATCCAAAACATCTCGAACTGAAGCGCGAAGTGGCGACCGTAGATATCAGCTAGTTGTCCTGATGCAGGAATAAATGTGGTGAATGTGAGCGTGTAAGCTGCTACAATCCAGTTGAAGCTTCCGGACAGCTGGTCTGAGGACGTATGTTAGCACATAGGTATTTGAGGCTGAAGGGACGGACTGGAACGACGTACCGAAGTGAGATGATATAAGTGGAATAGCCGGAGCAACGATAGTCACGTCCATCGCAGCCAGGAAATTGGGTAACACAAGTCCTAGCATCAACTTCAACTGCCGCGTCCTTCTTCGGCGAGCTTCTATCTTTTGCTGTGCTGCCTCTTCAGGTGTAAGGAAGTTGATGTGGCTTCCTGTTGAGTCTTGAGATAGCCCATGGCTATGTCTATTCGGGTAACCTTGAAGCTCTTGTCCTGAGGCAGGCTCAGGTACTAGGTGGGAGTCATCTGTAGTTGGGATGGCCTTTTTGGCTTCGCGTTCCCTAAGCTTTCTCCGGACAAGTTTGAAGAAATATATCGCCATGTTTGAGAATCGGAAAAAGACAGCGGAAAGACGAGTGCAGAGAAAATGAAAGCGGGTGATTTGAGTTCCTCCATCGTTCCAGACAGTGACGCCTTATATCTTGTGCTGTATTTGCAGATGCGGACAGCTCACCCAAATAGGACGATGCACAGCCAAGGGACATGTGTGGCTATGAATTGAATTCAAGGGTGTTGAAAGCCTCGTGTAGCTAATCTAGTGCACACTGTGGGCCTTACACGGGATCTTAGCCATGAATGCTCTGGGTGTGACCAAGCGTTGAGAGAGATTCGACTATTCCTAGTTGGGTCACCCTCGCGGACCAATCGCAGCATTTCTTGCAGATGGACTCTTATTGCCGGTCCTGGGCTGAGTCGCGATTGGTACAAAACACAGCCTCGTTGGACGCCTGTTAGGCGCACGCAGCAGGTGTCACCCGTCGCACGATGAGCTTAAGCAAATTTGACAATGGTCAAGCTTTCCCAAGCTTTCGCTAACAGCATTCCACTCCTATTCGTTTAGCTCATATCTGCTGGCACTTGGTCTTTGTGATAGTAATTGGAACTTCTGAACTTTTATCATCTTCTTAGAGCATTGCGAGATCTCGTAGTAGAGCCGTTGATCTCGTTGCGCGCTTGCCAGGTCAAACATCGTGAAGACGTACCTGTGCCCGAAAACTCGAATTGTTTTCAGTTGATCATCGACTGCGAGCTTAAGAAATGCAAGATTTGAGAGTAGTCTTGATCGCCAAGGCTGTCGAAGATGTTTTTGTGACTCCGTATAAATCAACGTTCGAAGACTCCTGGCAAGTTGCCTCGGATCGGAAGTGGTGGAGTTAATTCATACGTGTTGCGGAACCTCTTGGGAAACTACCAAGAAATGTAAGGTTTATATAGATCTTAACGGCTTTGGCAAGGAACTTAATGATGGTGGAACGGATCTGGCACACCACTGAGGGTAGGGTGCGTGACGACAATGTGTGTGCGCCTTCGAACCACTGTTCAGATTACTACAAGGGATCTAGAAGAAAGATAGAGCTTTCTGTGTCCCAGTAGTTACATGTAGATGATCGTAAGTTTCACGGGTTGTAAGGTTGATGATGGCGATGCCTGGGTGGGTCTCAGCCTATGATAGATCTGTGGACGCTTGGCCATGCATGACGCAACATCAATCGATCTCGGGAAGGGTCACCATCTCGAGCCACACCTCCGTGCCGCCCTACACCAAGTCCAACACGTCCAAGCATGAGACCCGTTATAGCGGTTCCAGCTACTGCTGCGCTCGTATACAGAGCGTACTCGCGAAAGTCACTGACCCCAATCGGACTTCTTGCAGCGTTCGCGACAGCAGTTGTACACGCGTTACATCCGTGGAGTGTATTCTTTGCTCTTCTTGCAGTCTTCTTCTTGGCTGGCAGTACCGTAACGAAGGTATACTTTTTCGAAGAGTCCTGCAGAAGACGTCTAACACAAGGACAGGTCAAGCATGATATCAAAGCGAAATTGACACAGTCAGCGACAGGTGCATCTGGTGGAGAAGGCACTCGCAACCATGTTCAAGTTATTGCGAACTCCGGCGTAGCCTCGGTGCTAATATTGCTGCACCTCTGGCAGCTAAGGAAAGAAGGGAGATATGGTGACCAGGGTCTATGTTGGCATAGAGGCAGCGACGCGCTGGTGATAGGTATCGTAGCGTAAGCGAATGCCCTCCATGTTCCCGCATATTGCTAACATACTCTAGTAACTACGCCGCAGTCGCCGCAGACACTTTCTCCTCTGAACTCGGTATCCTATCAAAATCGAAGCCACGTCTTATAACAGCTCCGTGGCGCATCGTCCCGCCTGGTACAAATGGAGGGGTGACAGCGACTGGACTTGGTGCTGGGCTGCTCGGAGCTTTCATACTCTCAGCCACATCTACACTCCTTGTGCCCTTCTGCAAAGACTGGAGCTTCTCGCAGAAGACTGCATATACACTTGCTTTGACAGCTGCCGGTTTTGGTGGAACACTTCTCGACTCGCTCCTCGGTGCTCTTGTCCAAGCTAGCGTCATCGACGTGCATTCAGGCAAGGTTGTAGAAGGTGAGGGAGGCAGACGAGTTCTTGTACGCAGCAGTAACCCGCTCCACCTCTCGAAAGTGGGTCAGATACAAAGTAAGGTCAGCAGTCGTTCGGAAGGCTTGAATGGCACTGCGAAGACAAGCGGCGTGGACACTGCAGCGTCGGTCAAGGCATCGGGGACAATGCTGAAGGCTGGAGCGAGCGGCAATACAGTCGTGGACCCGCAGCATGAGAGTCGGAAAATCGAGGTTGGGAGCGATCTGCTAGACAATAATGCTGTCAACATCCTCATGGCGGCTATGGTCAGTGTAGGAGCTATGATAGCTGCTTGCGTAATCTGGGACCTGCCCCTGGGCAGCATGGTCGGAATGTAGCTGCTTGAAGCTGAAAGCAATCAAAAGGGAAACACCACCTGTGCTAGATAGTTCGCTCTCATTGCGATGCGGTCAAGTTCGGGGATTGACCATCTACTCGTATGCCAAGACCACGCTAGTGGGCGCGTCACTAGCAGCCTGGAGTGAGCTCCCATCCATCGATAACAACAATTCGACATCCCGCCTTCGAACGTCAACAATACTCCAGCATATCAAGACGAGTATCCGACGTCCAGTCGCCGTATCAATCAACTCAAAACCACTCCACGTACTCTCAGCGCCACATTCATCAAGATGGTAAGCTGCCAGCACCATAGCGCCCGTGTACATTGACATATCCTAACATGCACCCCAGTCCCTCCGCTTCGTCCCTAACAAGGCGCACCCCACGCAAACCGCTCTCGAGACTTCGGCACCCTCTGCTCCCGGTGTCCACGACACGCTGCGATCTCGCCTCGCCCAGACTTCCATAGCACCTACCGCATCGTCGTCGTCGACAGCACCCGTCGCTCTTCAGTCTGCCCACCCACTCGAGGCTCGTCTTACCCAATGGCGAGACACCCAAGATCGCCTGAAGATGGAAATGCTGAGGCGACAGTTTGGCATTGCAGAGCCAGTGCGTAGGGGTATGGAGCTCAAGATCGCTGAGGCAGGCGAGTGGAGGCCGGCAACCCTGGGCGGAAGCAGTGGCGTTCACCGGGACATTCTGCAGGGACGAGATTGTGAAATTGGCTGGGAGGATGTGTTCACAGGCAGCGAGCTACGTGAGGTGCCAGACTTCCACACGGAGATTGAGCACAAGATGAAGATGAACTGGTAGTCTCGTACTCGTGTGATGCTTGAGCAGTAGCATGGAGGATATTCCACATGCACACAAGCGACAGTTCAACTCGCAGTACGGACAGCTCACGACATGGACATGCCATGGTGGTGCAGGACCGAAACATGAATGAAATAATGAAATCTCCAACCTACCCGGCTCGACAAACTCGCTGAGCATGTCTCGTCCTCTTTTACGTGATCTCTGGAGTCGAAGACCACCAGAATGGGTGGCGGGCGGAACACTGACCTACATTGCAGGGCTAGGAGCAGAGTCAGCACGCTACGTCGTTCGCTGCCGGTCTCTCGCATTAACAGATGTGATTTTCGGCATGCATGTCACTGTTCAGGCCACCGAACAAGTCTGTAGTGACCTTGCAAGCTTGTCATGTGCTAAACAATGCTGCCAGATATGTCGGGACGAAGCCCGGGTCCACTTTGATTACTGTGCATGTGGCGTAAAGTAGATGCATGCAGACCAATTATCGCCATGGTGAGATAGCATGCAGGGGCACACGCTTGGGTAGCGAAAGGCTGGCGCGTTGCGGGCCCAGCAGAGTTGACAGTGACAGGAGAAGCACAAGACAGGTGGACGAGGGTGCGTGGTACCGATGGATGTGTACCAGCAAATTCCAAGCGGGCAGCATCATGGCCACGCGTTGAGGCGGTGTTCTCGGCTCAGTAGTGGCTCTTGGTGGAGCCAGCGGGTCGTTCTTGCCGCATTCGCGGATTGCGGAGAAGGAGAGCAAGGCGGCGACGGCGACCTTCCAATCGCGCACGGTCGCCCGACCTTCCATCACCCACGCATCAGAGCCCCAATACATCTCAACACCAAACTATTCTTCGCTGCCGTTCCCTCTGCGACGACGACGACGCTGACCGGAAGAAATCTCCCGTCGTGCATCCGTCATCCACTCGCTTGACCTCAATCAATCGCTCGCTCCTCCTATTGCCGCATAACATCGCGAGTGAAGCCGGCCAACCATGGCGTCTACAGCGGATCAAGCCCCCACGGCACCACAGAGCACTCCACAACAAGCGGGCGCAGGGTCGCGACCACAGAGCAGGAGCGACCAAGGTCTGTCGTCAAGCCCAGTCGAGATGAGGACTCTCCAGGCGTCGGGCGTCGTGCCAGCCTCTGCGAACACGGGCACGCAGGTTGCAGAGACACCCGTTACAGCTCCGATAGCGACTTCCACACCACCTGCAGTCGAGACCAGCGCCTCTGAGAATGCGCCTGTCGCTGCTTCTCCGTCTGCGAAACCCGCACCTCCCGCTGCGTTAAATCGCGCAGAGACCGAGGCGATTGGGCCGTCGACGGATACACCAGCTGCAAACCCAGACAACACCAACGGCCCCGTGCTCGTGATAATGCTGCTCCTCACTAGTGGTGCGAGACATCCATACAAGATCGAGGAGAAGTACCTGAAGAAGCGCAACATCAACGTTGAGAACATGGACCCCTACAACATCAGTGTATACACGCTCAAGGAGCTGATATGGCGGGACTGGCGAGAAGGTACGCATGCGCATTTCTTCCTTGCTCTGCGCACAAGTCGGGTCATGCTTGGCTGGGCAGTGGGGTGGCTGTGTCGCCAGCTTTCTCTATCTTGATCTGCATAAAGCTTCGAGCGCAATCGCAACTTGACACGCACTTCCGTACCTCCTTTGGCAAACGCTAACTACTCTCCACAGAATGGGAGACTCGACCTACGTCGCCAGTCTCGATACGACTGATCCACTTTGGTCGCATGCTCGACGACAAATCGCCACTAAAAGGTAAGAACCTCTTCTCTATCAGCTCATGTCTTGGCGTGGCTTGTCCAACCGCTCGGCACACGCTTCCTACTGGCCGAGCCAGCTACGACGCGCAGCTTGCATAGGCCAACCCTTACGAGCTCATGGTGCAGCTACTGACAACGGACAGATTGCCGGTTCCAGACAGACTCCCCTAACGTGGTGCACATGACAGTTAAGCCACAAGAGATGGTCGACGACGAAGAAAACGCTAAGACCGGAAAGACTGGGAGCCGAAGAGATACCGAAGATGAGCCTACAGCTGGCTGCCGCTGCATCATCTTATAGTTATCGTATCCGTTGAAGCCCAAACTCCGGTTACCATGTTCTCTTCGAACGACATTCAGGGTCGGCAAAAGTATATACAGCGTGTAGCGAGGGATGGTGAATCGTGTTTCTGTTTGTCGCTTTTCTTTTAGCGCACTCCGAGAGTTACTCCTGGTTATCGTAATTGGCCGTTGTAGGCGGCTTTGGGTCGCGGCGTTCTCCTGAAGCGAATTGGGTATTTTCCTCGCTCAACACTTTCTAGTTTCTGTTTCTTTGCGTGCATATGGGGGTTTGCAGTAGTTCGGTCGAATCTGGAGCAGGTTCGTTTCTTTGTCCATTGTATAAGTACATACATTCTAGGGATGGTATATTGCTGGATTAGGATTATTTTGGGGATAGACCGTATTGAATCTTTCAACCTTTTAACTTCGACCTTATGAAATGAAGAGCAGACCAATGTGGAAATTAATGTCGACTCGGTGTGAGATGCATCTTGGGTAGCGGCATTGTGTATAGGTGTTTGCAGAATTGGACCCTGCCCAGGCGATGGTTCCGAGGCAATGTTCCATGGCGTCATCGTTTGAGTCTAGCACTTGAAGTACCACAAGCTCCGATGGCTCTTCGCGTCACACCACGCAACGCACTTCACAACCAGACAACCAGACAACCCCATCCCAGATAGCTCAACATGGTGCTCGAAGACATCGAAAACACAGCCCCGGAAGGCTTCTCAGACAACCCATATCCCTCGTCGGACGACCCATATGCATCCGCGTCGCCGCCATCCTCAGGCGCTCGCTTCGACGCGAGCACCCTACCCCAGCCATTACCTATCATAGGCACCTTCATGGGCTTCTCCGATCGCGCTGTCCGCTTCAAGACCGAGACTACCCTCAAGTTCGCCGAGCGCAAGGTTGGCCGTCAACTAAACTCGGAGGAAGCACAGGCGCTCGCATACCACATATACCAGCTTGAGCAGACAAAAAGCTATTTCGCTGCCACGGGTGCAGCTGCAGGAACATACCAATGGTACAGGACCTGGGACAAGATGAAATACCCCTTCTATCAACCCAAGGTCGAGGACATTGATCGAAACAAATTTGGTCCCATCAAGGGCAATATGGCGCAGTTCGCACGACATACATGGCGATTCTCTTTATATGTGTTGGTGGCAGGACAGATGGGCAACATCATCGGCCAACTTCTCGCTCAGCCACTTGCTGCAGTTAACACATCAAACGATCCTAAACTGGAACAGTTTGGACAGGAGTTGAAGGCTTCGTCACACGCCGAAGGACAAAGGACCGCACAACAAGGACGCGAGATTCAGGACAGGCGACGAGAGTTCCAGGAGCAGGTGAGGAATCGCGCGGGAGGTGGTCCTTCGCCACAGGCTAGGTGGGGTAAGCAACCCCAAGAGAACGGCGATGGAGGGGACGACATGAGCCCGACCGCTGGAAACGAAACATGGGGGACTCAATCTGCAGGAACAGACACGTGGGAGAGTTTCTCGAACGATACATCGCAATCGACTTCACAACGCCAGCAGGGTCCGCCATCTACTGAAGCTTGGAATCGCCAACCATCTCCACGACGTCAGTCTGCACAGTCATCATCACTTCCTTTCGACGACGACGCTTCTCCTACCGGCGGCCTCTTCCAGGATGAAGTCAACAACCCGCAATCGCAGCCCCAGCCGCAAGCAAGGCCTGGCGAATCAAGCTGGGACCGACTTAGACGCGGTGGTGCGCCAGCGCCCCTTCAAAAGCCACAGCAGCAGTCACGGAGAGCAGAGCCTGAGCGCAGGGAGCAAAGAGAAGGCTCCACGCTCGGGGATTCATACACATTTGTTGAGGGTGATGATGAAAGAGCTATGGAGAGGCAGCGCGCACAGCAAGAGTTTGATGCTAGGTTAGAGCGAGAGCGCCAGGGACGCGACTTCAATGACGAAAACAAGAAGTGGTAAGGGGCGGCGATTGAAAAGTAAACATTCGCGAAATGTGAATAATCGACTGCGTATCCATCTCTCAATTCATGTGAGTCATGAGTTTCGGGCCTTAGGTGTTGTCGCTAGATAAGACGTACCGTGGTTGTACACCCGTGCTGCCATCGCTTGCCCATATCTTCTAGGCTCCACAGAGAAAGAGGTGAGAGCACGAATGAAGACCAAGTGAGCGCAACTTAATACGAATGCTCCTTCACCAGGACCCATCTCTCTAGTTTTGCCCTCTGTAAATTCTACCTCACCTCTCTACCCCGCTTCAACTTGAACCTCAGACGACCCATTCGCTTCTTTTGATAAGAAGCTGGAAAACTTGGGTAACGTACCTTGTGCCGTATCTATGAAAGACCCGCAGTTACTTCTACCAACAGACTACTGGCCACTTTCTAGCCCCGTGAGCTTACCTGACGAAACCAGGTACTGCTACGAGTGCAACGCAACCTCCGATGAGACAGAGGAGAGGACTCAATCACAGCTTTCTTGTGACAGCTGCGGCAAAGTCTTCTTCGACAAAGAACATACCAATACAAATAGTTCGTCAAGAGTTATTCCTGGTCGGCCGACGTTCTATGGTCCGAATTCTATGGATCCTTTACACGCTTTCGAGACTGCGAACCAAGCTACGGACCCTCGAAGGATCATGGAAGAGAATGGCCCTTCATTAGTTGCAGATGGTGAAATTGGCAATGATTCTTCTGGTCGAACGCATATGAACCTCTCCCGTCCTTACGCACAGCTATCCTCCAGCAACTACTTATACGGCGTTGTCCTCCCACAGGTATCGGACAGCGGCTACGAGCCTCCTAGCTATCAGCACTACGTCAACACAGCCTCCTCCACAGCTGGCTTTTCCTCAGCTTTTACACCCAGTCCTGAGGCTGATACTCTCACTCAAGAAACTGGGGAACACGAAGTCCATACCCCAAAGATGGTGTCTAAAGCTCCAAAACGGACGTGTCAACCTCGTACGTCTGAATGTGAAGTGTCCAAGTTCCACAGATTCATGGATCTCACCCTAGAGCTACGTCGATCCATCTACGCCTTCGCGCTTCATACGGGTCGCCCCATCAAACCGCATCTGTGCGACTACCCTGCTCATGATACTATTCAGTTTCACGATGACAACCAGCTTGATCATTTTGCGACCAGCGATCTTCTCTGTATCACTCGTGTCAACAAGGAGACCCGTGCCGAGGCCCTCCCCATCTTCTACTCTGCCAACATTTTTGAGGTCGGTCCGGATACTACGACTTATTTTGACCGCCTGGCTTACTTGGGTCGCTTTGACATGATCCGCCACGTCCGGTTCAGCATCGAGATGCGCAAAGAGAGTACATCACCCGGTCTCCTTCGCCGTATGCACCAGTACATAAAGGAAGCTGACGCCTTCGAGAAGGGGCTGGCTCAACCTCCCGGCCGGCGTCTTTGGTCGCTCACGCGCCACCCGCAGTATACCTATGGCGGTATCCCAGAACTCAACACACTGATCGCGCTGATGAAGCTCACCTCTCCCTTAGCTGGTAAAGACCAGGGCAGGAGCAAAGAAAACAACGCATCCCGCTCCAAGCTCGTCGTCCCTGTTCTCAGCGCATCCGCTATGGCTTCTTTTGACCGCCTAAAGTGGTTCACAGCCGTCATGTACGGTCTCGGCATCCAGATCCCCTACGTCGAGAATATGCCATTCTCCTCTGTCCCCGGCAGCACGGTAGATATTACCTGGCACCAGCGATTTCAGAAGAAGGACTTTGGCGACGTCCCCGAGTACGTTAATCCGGTCGATAGTACCGGCCAGACGGCGGCTTACAAGCGTGCCGTTGAGTTAGACCCGGAGTTGGAAGAGAAGTCGAGACCCAGAGGGTGGGCTTATATGCGTACCACTTGTGTTGGTGGCAACTCCGGATGGTTCGATATCACGACTGAAGGTGGAGGTATTGGATATGGTCCGCGATAGCCTCTTTTGGTGAAATTTCTACACTGGATAGGAATTTCGATAACAAATAGAATTTGGAAATGAGCGATGTGTTCAATTCGACATGAGTCTATCGGAAAGACATATGTGTGATAATGAGACAGTCTTCTAGAAGATATCAGAAGGAGAATAGCCACATCAGAGAACTGCTACCCGCGTGGTCATATGCCAGGTATTGCCGACTACGAAAAAAAGCTAATGTTGAACAGGTTTGGTAGCTACATCAACCTAACTAGGAAATACATCATTGAGTGGAAACTTGAAGCATTGTACGGCACCACTAAAGAGTGTGTACCTATCAAAATAGAAAGTTGGTTGGGTTGAGTATGGAGAAACTAACGCGTGGGAGGCCTAGAGCACCCGCAGGCTGTGAGAAGCGGGTACACCCCACTCAGCACACCTCACTTCAACAATTCGCAACTACCGCTTACTTGATCGCTACTCAGATATCTACCATGTCTCTTTGCCAAAGCTGCATATCAATTCCCTTCCGTGCTCTTCAGCGCGGTGAGTATCCTCCAGGATGGAAAAAGGATTCCTGGGTCGATGGAAATGGTCAGCCATGGGGATGCGACAGCCATATTTGGACATGCAACAGACGTCAGACCACACTACCGCAATTGAGGGAAAATGCTGTCAACTGTGTGTTATGCAGCATGCTTATTCACAATTTGGAACATAGGCCAACGTACAATCGACTTTCACAAGAGATGGATCTGGATGTTACTCCTGTGTGGCTTCTTCTACCTGGATCCGAAGGCATTTATAATCAGAAGCTCGAATTGCATCTCGAGCAGCAAACTCCTCATCTAGAAAGCCCTGTAGAGGCGACTGCTGTGGAGTTTCGGAGTAGATTTGGTATGTAGCATGAGGTCCCACCTGGGCTCGGTATGACAAGCTTATGAAACCCAGACACTCCATCTCCGAACCTTTTTCGAAGCGTAAAACTAGAGAAGCTACTCGACCCGGTACCGTTGAAACAGCTGAATTATTGGTTTCACGATTGCAATACTGGACATACAAAATGCTCTGGTCTTCAGAAAGATGTAGAATTACCTACGAGGGTCCTGGACCTGTGCGCCATGCCCAGCGCAGATGTCATGATTGAGCATGTACATGAGTGGGAGGATCTGTTCCTTCCGAGCGAATGTAGACTAGTTGAAACCACCACAGGACAGCTAGGAAAGTATGCCACGCTCAGCTACTGTTGGGGTAGCGGTCTGCCGTTTATAACTACCAAGGAGACTTTGTCATCGAGAAAGAGTGGCATCAGCTTTCGGGATCTTCCTAAAACTCTTCAGGATGCCGCCATGATAGCGCGGTATCTTGGTCTTCGATATATATGGATTGACTGTCTTGCCATTGGTACGAGTTCAAGCCTTCGATCTTGATCTATAAACTGACCTTCATGTCCTTACCTGTAGTACAAGATGATGCGGCAGACTGGGAGAAAGAGTCAGCTGTCATGGCTGATATCTATTCAAACTCATACATAAACATTGCCGCATCGAATGCTTCGCACTGTGGGGCGGGTTTCCTAGGACCACGGAAGATGCCATTGACCGAACGTATCGAAATTCGCGACGACGAGGGCGATCTGGAGCTGTACCTCGTTGCTCAACAAACGCGAAACAATGTAAGACTGCGTAAGAAGCATCCATGAATAGTCTGACATGACCTAGACACTAGTGAGAGATCCACTGTACCAACGAGCCTGGGTTCTACAAGAGCAACTACTACCAACACGTTCTATACATTTCGGAAGCGACAACATGCTCTGGCGGTGCCCTAACGGCATTGAACACGAAGAGCAAAACAAACAATGGACACACCTGTACACTCTCAGTGCCGTAGTAACCTGCATAGGTCTACCACCAGGTGCATCGTTTGGACAAGACGCCTGGTTCCAGCTGGTTCGGGACTACACCTCGAGAGGTATTACCTACTCCAAAGACAAGTTCCCAGCCATATCAGGTGTCATGACTGTTTTACGGCGCATGACTGATGACATGAGTTACGCTGGACTCTGGAAGCGCAATTTCCTCAAGTGGCTTTTGTGGATACCTAAGCATGATATTGCACCTTTTAAGCGGCCTGATAACTGGATAGCTCCTTCTTGGTCATTCATGTCTGGAGATGGCCCGGTAGACTACAGCCTGGGAGCTCTCAGTTATAACATGAATGCGTCGTTACGAGAGTTTTGCGCAACTCTCCAAGAGTGCAGTGTCACGCCCAAGGGCCTGAATCCTCTCGGCGAGTTGACGGCTGGCTTTGCCCGAATCACTGGTTCAGTAGTGGCTCTTGCTCAGATCTCACAGAATTCGGAACAGCACACCTACTTCTCGTGCAGCGTTCAAATGCGCGATCGGAAGGCGCATCCTGCGCGCGTTCTGTTCGATGTCGACACCCACGAGCGCTGCGATGTTCTGGTGATTGCGCCAGCCTTTGGAATAGCAATCATCTGCACGAATGAAGAGCGCAGCGAATACGTAAGGGTCGGACTGGTAGTAATTCAAACAGTAGATCTCAATGATGCGAAGGGCGTAAGTAGAAACCTTGACTGCGATGAAACTATCAAGAATGGAAACACTGACATTCGTCCAGGATTCGAGGCACTGGTATCCGGAAGCATCAGCTTATCCCAAGCCACGCTCGATTGTGCTTCTTTAGACGGAGTTGTAAATGCAGTGGTGGTTAAGCTCGGGTCTGCGTTGATCATAGCGGATATATCGGAAATAACTTCCCCGCATTTGATGTCTATTAGGTACCCTGAATCAGGACTCCACAACAATGACAACCTCGGTCTTATTGTCAAACGAATCGCGCCTTTAACCATGGATATCTCTAATTCTCTTCGTGCAGTAGCTCCACTGACTCCGGGAGATTGGGGTTTTGTAGATGGGTCAGACATTGTGTCTCTGAATTAATCGTCTGAAATAGAAGAATCCCTAGGAGGCGAAAAGCACGATGGCATGTAAGTCCTTTCCCCTGCCCTGTCGCGGTGCCTTGGAAATGCTGAGACATCAAAGTACCCATAATTGCTGGAGCGGCTGGCACAGCAGCAGTCGCAGCCTACCTGAACGCAAAACACCACATTGCTCATGACCTCAAGAATGCTCGTGGCGGGCTCTCACAATCACAAGATGTTGTAGATTTCATTACCGATCGCGCCATCCGAAAACGCGTTCTTACCTACCATGTCTTCGAAGACCAGGTTCGCAAGCAGCCCAACCACCCCTTCCTCGTCTTCGAAGGCAAGGCATGGTCGTACAAACAGTTCTTCGAGGCTTTTACAAGAGTGGGGAATTGGTTGATAGATGACCTCGGCATACAAGTAGATGAGGTGGTTGCTATGGATGGCGGGAATAGCCCAGAGTATTTAATGCTTTGGTTTGCTCTGGACGCGATTGGAGCTGTTCCAAGCTTCGTCAATTGAAATTTGACTGGAACGGGGTTGGTGCATTGCGTGAAAGTGAGTTTGCTGATATTCTACCTATGGTATTAGACTGATCATTGCAACAGATATGCAATTCCAGGTTTCTCATCACAGACGCCGATGTCAAGAGCAATGTCGAACCATGCCGTGCCGACCTCGAGGAAACAGGCATAAAGATTGAATATTTCGATACATCATTCTTTGCATCTTTATCGAACTCGACTCCTATACCAGACTCACGTCGCGAACAACTTACCATGGAGTCTATCCGCTCACTCATGTATACTTCTGGAACTACTGGATTGCCTAAGGCCGTGATTTTGAGCACCGGTCGCGAGCTCTTGACGGGTTATGGTGTCGCAAAATACTTGGATCTCAAACCAGAAGCCAGAATGTACACATGCATGCCACTTTACCATGGCGCTGCACACGGACTCTGCGTGACACCGATCGTCCATGCTGGCAGCACAATCGTACTAAGCCGGAAATTCTCGCACAAGACCTTCTGGCCCGAAGTAGCAGCTTCAAATGCGACCATCATACAGTACGTCGGCGAGCTCTGCCGATACTTGCTCAATGGCCCAACGAACCCATACGAGCGAAAACATAAGGTGCAAATGGCCTGGGGCAACGGTATGCGCCCAGATGTATGGGAGCCCTTCCGTGAGCGTTTCAACATACCCATCATCAACGAACTATATGCGGCTACGGATGGATTGGGGTCGACCTTCAACCGCAATGCGGGTCCTTTTACAGCTAATAGCATTGGTCTCCGAGGTCTGATCTGGAATTGGAAGTTTAGGGACCAGGAAGTGAGAGTGAAGATGGAAGTTGACACCGAAGATATTATGAGAGATGCAAGAGGCTTTGCGATTCGATGTGGAGTTAATGAACCAGGTCAGGTCTTGCATAGGCTGACACCTGAAACGGTGGCCAGTGCACCGGGTTATTACAACAATGAGGGTGCAACGCAGGGTCGAAGGATCACTGATGTGTTCGAGAAGGGTGATATGTAAGTCTCAGTTATTAGGAGACTGATGTGCGACAGGCTGACAATAACAGGTGGTTCAAGTCTGGCGACATGATGCGACAGGATGCCGACGGCCGCGTCTTCTTCGTCGACCGCCTTGGTGATACTTTCCGTTGGAAGTCTGAGAACGTGTCCACAAACGAAGTAGCCGACATGATTGGCAAGTTCCCACAGATTGCTGAAACTAACGCGTACGGCGTGCTTGTACCTGGTTATGACGGCCGCGCGGGAGCTGCTTCCATTGTCATGGCGGACGGCGTTACTGAAGCGACATTTGACTTCTCAGCATTGGCGAGGCATGCTAAAGCAGTCTTACCGAGCTATGCTGTACCACTCTTCTTAAGAGTAACACCTGCATTGGAATACACAGGTACTTTGAAGATTCAAAAGGGCAGGTTGAAGAAGGAAGGTGTAGATCCGGAAAAGATTACGGGTGAGGATAAACTGTACTGGCTGCCTCCTGGAAGCGATCGGTATCTGCCATTTGCGAAAAAGGACTGGGAAGCCATATTGGAGAAGAGAGTGCGTCTGACATAGCATGAGAACATATTAAGTATCTCGGAATTCGTTCCAAGTGAAATTGCGCGGTACCAAATCTGATGCTACTTAGGTACGCAATCATAGTATCGACGGATAGTGATGTGAGAGCAGACATGCGGGCATTCTCGTCACGTCGCCCAAGGATGACCTCCTTTCCCAAACTTCGCATCACAAAAAGCCAACTTCGTCAACCTCTTTTCCAAAATCTCTTCCTTGTGCATCTCCATCTCCTCGTAATCCCAGTTCACACTCACCATGCTGCCTCGCAACCACTCTGCTCTCTCGGTAGATAGGAAAAGTGTCAAGCCTCCTGTTAGCATGGGATCGTCAAGGGCATACTCCAGATACTGCTTTGGCGGCATATCTGTTGCAACGAGGCCGGGAAAAAGGCTAAATGTGCGGATGCCAGGCTGTTCATGATGAAGGAACTCCATGAACTTGGTTTGCGCGAGTTTACTGGGGATGTAGGAGGAGAAGTCGGGATACATGTCGCCTAACGTTCCTGTCGAGACAGAAATTACTGTGCCCTTGCCGTCCGGTGCTTGGGCGAGGAAGTGGTGCACATTCAGATGTACGGCTTTGACGTTGACTTCCTGGGTAGGTGTCAGTAACCATAAAGGGGCATATGGAAAAGAGAGGGATCCTACGAAATCCTGCCACCATTTTCCCGGATCACCCTTGCCGATCATAGCTTGCGTCAAGGATCCGGCGTTATTGACGAGGACATCGATTCGGCCAACTGCTTCTCCTGCTTTCTTCCACAACGTTGCAACATCTTCTTCCTTCGTGATATCGATGGGCCCGAAGGAATGTACGCTCGTATCATCTTGGACTGTGGCTTCCAATGTCTCAACAACCTCTTGTATCTTCTTTTGGTTCCTTCCGGTTATGACGATGGCCTTAGCACCAGCAGTTCTCCATGCTTCAGCAATCGCCCGACCAATGCCACCTGTGGCCCCAGTGATGAGGACTGTCTTGCCTGCAGCTGAGAGAGCAGGGTTACTAGGATTCAGCAACGGGTTGTTTTTACGATGGACTTTGCTTGTGAGTTGGACAGGCCAAGTTATCGCATCGTAGTCTGGTTGGTCAGCCATTGTCCTGGGAACCGATAAAGGGAATATGTTCCAATTACGAATGGTTGCTTGAGGAGTATAGCATTCATTGTACAATTATTTTCGGTATCCATAATATCATCTGCCGTACCCACAATATGCGGCACGTTGCAACTACCTTCCGGAAAGGGATGCCGATGCCGATGCACGATTGCGGCGCAGACCAACTTCGCTAGTAGGGAACGCACGTCGCATATCCTGCGGATACGGGAATAGGATGCCGAACCATGAACAGGCCTCCTATTTCCAGCACTTATGGTGAAATCATTGGAGGTATTCAAGAATAAGCTGCGAAGGATGAGGGAGGGGCGGTTCTGCACGGAAGGGATCGCCTCGTCCCCTTCGTCTTCCGCAGCCTCAATCTACACGGGACGATGCAACTGAGCCGCAGGATCAAACGTAGCGAAATTGTGATATGTGGGATCATAGACAGGCGCACAATAATGCAAGCCATCTCTTTCTGTGATATTTTGCCAATCACTCTTCAAGCACAACCCACGATACCTTTCGGTCCTGGCCCGCCACTGGAAGACCAGTCGTCCGAGGAGCACAATGGCTTCAACAGATCCCACACAGACTCCGATCCTTCCTCCGCCGCCCGGCCTAACGACCAACTTCGTGAACCCTCCGACGCTCATGCCGGCCGTGATTGTCGGCACCACGATTATCCATCTCTTCACTCTACCTTTCATACTGGCTCGCGCCTATGTCAATGCATACGTAATGAAAGCATGCTGCATTGAGGACTACCTCTCCTACATCTCATACGTTGGCTGTATCGCCTACACCGCAGCCATCGTGCATGCTGAAACCGTCGGTATGGCTCGACACATGTGGGACATCTCTATGGTGACCTTCACGGAGATATCCTATATCTGCAATATCGTGTTCGTTTGCTACACGGCCACGAGCGGACTCGCGAAGACTGTCGTCTTCTTGCAGCTTAAGAAGATCTTTACCACGAGGTTTCGGGGTGTCGTTTTCTGGGTGATTGTTGGCTCGTTGATTGCTAATGCGCTGTTCTATACTGCCATGTTTTTCCTGTACGTCTTTACATGCTGGCCAAGGGAGAAAATATGGGAACCAAGTATCGAAGGGAAATGTATCGATTCGAACAAACTAAACATGGCTATGGGAACTCTGAATGTTATCAGTGACGTGGAAGCATTCGTGGTACCAGTTTGGGCGATATGGAAGCTGAGTATGAAGCTGCAACGGAAGATCGCGGTCTTGGCGATTTTCGGCGTGGGCGCAATGTAGGTTTTGCAGCTGCCATTCAAACGACATGCAAAGACTTTGCTGATGTATATTAGTGCTGTCGCAATTGGTTGTGTAGGACTGTACTATCGAGTCATCCTGCTGCAGCAATCTGACTTCTCCTGGCTACTGACCCAAGCGGGTTTGATCTGGTAAGTCGATTGTCATACTCCTTTGAAGAGACGCGGGCTTAACACAACTCAGTATGGCTGAACTTGCCATCGTCATCATCGTGGGGTGCTGTCCGTACGTTCCCCGCGTGAAGAATCACCTTCGCCCATCGTCCACACCCGAAAGTTATGAGAATAGCAAGCGGACGCCTGTGCCTTTGGAGCAACGTTCGAAGTTTTATCACCTGGAAAAGTATCTGGATACCAATGCTAGTGTGTCGAACCTCGGGTCGAGTGTCTCGGAAGAGCACCTAGAGCTACACCAATATTGCGAAACAAAGTCTAAGTACCGACCAAAGGGCTTTGGCGGCGACGATCGTGTCATTAGTAAGTTTTGCGTGTAGTGTAGAAACAAATGATTGCTAATAGTTGGATTGTAGTGCGTACTACGCATGTCGAGCAGTCGATTTCGTAGATACGTGTGCGAGAACTGGGCAATACGGAGCAGCTCGTCTGGTGTATACTAGTGTTAGATTCCGAACATGAATGGCCCATACAATAACTCCATCGTGTTCCCACTATCTCCTGTTTACCGAGCACTAGTCGTTTGTGATGGCTAGGAAGAATGACGCGTGAATCTCGGTTGAAGTCGTATAACATGTGCGGAACTTGCTGAGTGAAGGCATTGAGCATGTGAGCCACCAGCACAGCGAATGAGCGTGGAAATGCCGTCTCCCTGGTGGTGTTTGTTGGTCCAGTAAATCTGACTCTTCCGGATAATAGGTTGTGTAAAGTGGTCGCACTGGTTCGGAGGGATCTGCAGCCTCATCGGCACTGCACCACACGACTTCAGGCCCACCAAGGAGGAGACGATGCCATCTCAATTACCGTACGCCTGGAGGTTCTGCATACAATATGCAGAGTGACTTCATAAATATGAATCTAATTAAGAGAGTGATTGAAGAAATAAGACATGTGAAGGGTCCGAGTAGATGGAATGGCACGTGCACAACAAGCCGCGCTTTAGCGTTGGCGCGCTCGCGGGTGGCGATCTCTTTAGTCAGCCAGACTGATGAGTTTCGCAGGTCCAGCCGTAGTCTTCACTTCTCAAAGACACAACCTCTTGCGCCGTTCGCTATACAACCTCCACACGAAGCCCGTAACCATATACACGACCGGAATTCATAACTGTATCCGCTTCAGTATCGAAGATCCATCAACGCTACCACAACCACAACAATGGGAAAGGCCGAAGCAGGCAGCACAAAATGGGTCGCCAACAAGATGAAGTCCAAGGGCTTGCAGCGGTTGCGCTGGTGGTGTGAGCCTTGCCAGAAGCAATGCCGCGACGCAAACGGGTTCAAGTGTCACGTTCAGAGCGAGAGCCATGTCCGGAACCTCCAAATCGTTGGCGAGGATCCCAAGAAGTACATCCAGGGCTTCAGCAACGACTTCCAAAGGGACTTTGTGAATCTCTTGCGAACTGCGCACAACGAGAAGTGGATTGGAGTAAACAAATTCTACAACGAGTAAGAATTCTTGGTTCATGCGACAGAGAACACACACTGACTAGCTTTAGGTACATCCGAGACAAGGAACACGTCCACATGAACGCTACGAAATGGAGTTCACTGACCGAGTTCGCCAAACACCTTGGACGGGAGGGTATCTGCCATGTCAAGGAAGACGAGAAAGACGGATTGATGATTGCTTGGAGAGATACTTCTGTTGCAGCTGTAAACAGGCGGAATGAGATCGCGGAGCAAGAGGCTGCTGAGGCTCGAAGCGGTGCTGGCGAAGACAAGATGTTGAAGAAGATGGCAAAGCGTGCACAGGAAGAAGCCGAAGCCAAGAAAGCTATCGAGGCCAAACGAGCAGCGGCTCAAGCGGCTGTTCAACAACAGGTCACCCCACCAGCAGAAGGAGCGTCGCCGACAGAGGAGCAGAAGGCCGACTCCCCGCTCGATGAACAGAAGCCAGGGGATGGGAAGGAAGATGCCGAAGAGCCTAAGGCGGATGCAGCGCCTGTTAAGCTAAGCTTCGGCTTGAAAGCCAAGGCTGCGCCTGCGAACAAGGCTGGACTGGGTCAAATGAAGAGCCAGAGCATATTCAAGCGGAAGAAGGACGATGCGACATCGGAGCAAAAGCCGGCGAAGAAAGTTAAGTTATGAGTGATGTTATAGCGCTGGTCTTTTTATATGCATAGCACGGCGTTTGGGTCATCAGGTTACGGATAGGACAATGGGGCTGGATTTCCAGATAACCCACATACAATATATCGGCACGCAGTGTAGCCGCTTTCAGCGTGTTCTGCAGTCCCTGAAGGCTATCGCGACATTTCGCGTTCGGGTGCACGCGTCATACCATGTCTGACTTAGCGTCGTTCGGCGCGTCTACATCATCGAGACGCGTCTTCCCTACCACATATCTCCACAAACGTCTCCCGCCACTTCGAAAATTTCTCGTTCTTTACTTCTTCGCCCTGCGAATTCGTCGCGAGCACGTTGAAACTCTCATCTACTGTCGCAAGCATGTCTATCCTCACTTTGTCGTCTCTCCCGGACCCCATTCTACATCTAATATGTGTCTACCTCGCGCCTGACCGACCCACTATCAACGACGATGAACACGGCCAATGCCCGACCCTCTACCGTCCTATCATCAGCCTCTCCTTGACCGCACACTCACTTAATCGCATTTCCTCGAGATACATCGCGACCAACATCAGTCTCACAGATACATGCGCGCGCTGGGATTTGTTCCTACGCACCGTAACGACGAACCCTACTTACGCGTCGAACGTCAAATACCTAAGACTAAAAGAGAGCTCGGTCGAAGAAGAGATTGGAATGTTAAACAAAACCTCGACTGGAGAAGAGATTGAGAAATCGCCTTCGAAATACCAATACGAATACATCGCAGACATGTTGAAGGCGTTGACTGGCTTAGAGGCGATATATGTGCATTACGGCATATCGGCATATGCTGGTCATATCGTACACTGTCTTACGCACAAGCCACTGCCGCTATGGGATACGATACGAGTGGTGCGATTCGATAACACAAACGCCTGGGACGAGGAGTGCGTTGTGCAACTCGATCTCGAGCGCAAAGAGAAAGGAGAAGAGGAAAGCACACACCGCAAATATACTACGGGGACAGAACAACTCAATGAAAGCCTAGAAGGCTTGAAAATGACCAGTTTTCTTGAAATTCCGGACGTTACTGGTGTCATCGCTACAACTCGCGACTTCGAGAACGATGGCGATGACCAGGATGACGCGGATTGGGCGGACGAAGACGAGGAGGGAGTAGATGACGACAGCGATGGGTGGAGTGAACGCGACTACGAAGACGATAGCGAAGACAGTGATTGGGATTCTGAAGATGAAAGCGATTACGAAGATGATTGGGAAGCTGAGTATGGATTTATTGTACCAAAGGCTGAGCCGGTCAAAGATCTATCGGTTCCGAACACTGCGGTTGTAGTTCCTGGCAAAAGTCTTCTAGACTTTTGAGCCTGTGTGGGATACGCAGTTATTTGATTGCTGGGTAAAAGGGACTAGGTATGGTTCTTCTGCTGTTTGTATATTATATTGTATTACTTTGTTAGGTTTTTGGATTCGATCAGGCATCGAATCCAGCAACATCATCCTGAGTAGAGTCTTTTAATGCTAGACATGGCTTCCCGGAGCAACCCGTTCGAACTTGGATTCATAAACTGATTTTGAAAGTATGGAGTAGATAAAACAGTCAATGTCTACTCTTCTCCCAACAAGCCTTTATCGCGTCCTGAGAAACCTGACCGTCATCGGTGGTGCTCCTGCAGTGAAATGGTCCAGAATACCCTCCCAGTAAGCGTTTGCATCCGTTCCTTCATCCAGTACAATGTCAAACTCCGCGACCACCCTTCCGATCACACTCCTCAGTTCCATCAAAGACAGCGCCTTCCCTGCACAGCTATACGAGCCAGTCGAAAACGGTATGAACGCTTGTCTATTGAGTACCAATTCAGGCTTCGTCGTCCATCGCTCAGGAATGAACTGATCAGGTGCAACGAAGTTCCTTGCATCGTGAAATAGGGGAAATAGAGGTATATGCACAATCATGTTCCCTGGGATGAAGCGCCCATTTACCTCCATGCCTTGTGGGGGTGTAACGCGTTGTGAACCGAAAAAGACTGAAGGCCACATGCGCATTGACTCCTGAATTACAGCTTCTAGCATTGGCATGGGGCGCTGGCAGTCGTAATTGTCGATGTTCGCAAGAAACTCAGCGCGGACAGCGGCTATATAATGGGGATGTGTAGCGAGGTGCATGAAGAGGAAGGTCAAGGCTGAGGAAGTCGTTTCGCTGCCGGCGGAAATGATGAGACGTGATTCGCCGTAGAGGAGTTCGCGACCTTCTGGTGTTTTGGGGGTGGAGTTTATGAGGTGTGAGATTAGGTCGGGTTTGGCATCTCGGACCTAGATGAAGCTGTCAGTATTGGTTCCTATTGGAATCCCAAAGGGAGAGACGTCACCTGCATGCGTGCTTTCATCTGACTGACGCTCCAGTCTCGCCACTCCTTCATGGGTCCTGCGAACGAGGTAAGTACACCAATCGCGTTCATCAGCCATGGCATATGATACATGTATCCCAGCGCCTGGACGCTATTCGTGAAAGTAGCAAGAACACTAGCAGCGACATCACTTTGCTCGCCTTTGATGAAGCCCATTGGTTTGCCAAAAGCCAGTGCTGCCATGACGTCGTAGCTGTAGTATGTCGCGTACTCAAACAGTGGAATGGATCTTCCTTCCTCGCTTCTCAATCGTGTAAGCAGCTGATCTGTGAAGTTCTCGACCTGCGGCGCATAGTCCGAAAGCGATATTTTCATCGCGTTGTCCCAGACCTTGCGACGCTGGCGGTGGAATGCCTTGTCGCGGTTGAGATGTAAAGACTTCTCCATGACGTCAAAGAAAGGACCCTTCGATGTACTTGATTGTGCTCCCAGAATTGGTTGAATCGCAGCTGCATCAAAAATAGTGAGCTCACGTGGCCCTGACGGTGTTAGTACTGGATCTGGAAGGAAGTACATAGGTTGGACAGACCTGTCCTAACATAGTCGCCATACCGACTCTGCAACCGCTGCAGAACCCGATGATAATGCAGGCCACTGTCATACGTCTGTTTGACAGTCCACCATCGCGATAGCTTCGCGGCCCAAGGTCCCGGATAGACGTTGAGTGCATGAAAAAAGGCACGGTACGCTCCGATGTACAGCCACAGTGGAACCCAGAAGAAACTCGTCACCAGTGTCGCGGCGACGAATCCAATGTAATAGAATAGAACCCAGTATACGGTAATCGCTAGTCCAAGAATCTGAAGGGTCAAATGGTCGACTTCCACTCGTCGCAGGACAAATTCGTGCAGGATGACCGCCGACAATGGTGCGAACACAAAGACAGTGGTGGGAACCGACTCCATGGTCTGCTGTGTATGAAACTATGATCCCGTCCGAGTGTCCTGGGACTCAGTAGTGATCAGCTGTCTAGACAGTGGCGGCCGACAGATAGTTCTCCGCTGTTAGCCGATTTAGATGTTTTCTCCGCTCCAAACGTATCCTTGAATCAAGTATGGCGGGTGCTAGTATTCTACCGTTGCAATTGCAATGGGTGGTATTTATCGGGAGTACAAAACGTGGAAGATTTGCAGGTGCGTCGTGTTTGCCCGGAAGCCGACAGTCACACGTGGAGAACTGGTGCGAGAACCCGATCGACGGACCCAGTTCATGAAGTGGGACATGCACGGTTCCCGTTTGTCCTGCAAACTGCAGATTGCCATTCCAGTTGGTGCTCCGCAACAGGAATCTTGCCGCATGCTGATTAGCATGCAGGGGTCAGCATTTTATTGCTGGGTTCCGTCACACACTATCGTACATAGCCGACTAGCGCCTCGGTACAAACTCATCTCTGGTTAGTGTTCCAACCTGTCGATATCGTGGAGTTTTCTAGTAGCCCAAAGCTGTCTAGTTCTTTGGGAGAAATGTAGTGTAGCCTCAATTCTCCGAGCACCACCTTATTGGATGCGGGAGTGCCATATTGTGTAACTTCGGTACGTGAATCAGCGTTGCTGCTGCATGCGACGCTTACCCTTTCTGGGACAGGAATGTAAGAGTCCGCCAGGCGAAGCGGTGGCAAGGCCTCCAAACGGTTAGAGCGGATTGAGACAACGGGTATAAGCATGGCAAAAAGGACGTAGTTCCTCTTTCTTTGGTTTTATGAGGATCTTGTCTGGCATTTAGATAGGAGAGCGCATGTCCAAGAACCTTGTCCGGCCAGAGCATGCGCCTGCGTATTATGGTTCCACTGTTGAAGGAGCAAGGTTGTACGGGAAAGATCATCTGTGTACCCTCGTGTCGAGCTAGCATGGTAACTCAAACTGCTCCAAAGATAAGTTCGCTGCGAGTCCGGGAGTAAGCACGAGGTCCTAGCGATCCCGCCCTCCTTTCAAAGTCCTGTCTCTTCCTGCAAGCCCACGGCATTCCCCATCTATGATGACTTCGAGTACGACCGAGTCGGGCGTCTTGCCTGCACCCCCTGGTGTTGAGACAGACTTCAGTGGTGACCGAACCGGTCTTCAAAGTAGGATCATCGTGGTGTATGTCGTGATGACGATACTTTCCACCATCGTGCTTGGACTACGACTGTATACTCGCATCTTCATCCGCCGTATGACAGGGCTGGACGATGCGCTGGTAGTCCTCAGTTGGTGCGGCTGCATAGGATGGATGGTCGTATGTTTCCAATGTGCGTATGCCGCTAGTCACTCTGTACACGACTGACTTCAAGTATAGCTTTCCAGTATGGGTTCGGTCAGCACCTCTGGAATGTGACTATGGAGCAACTGATGGGCTACACGAAGATGCTTGTCGGCATCATGGTGGTGTATGTTTGGACACCAGCTCTGGCCAAACTCTCATTGTTAGCACTCTACTACCGTCTCAATCCGGACCGGAAAGTCCAAGCATCCATCTACGCATTGGCAGTCCTAGTCACCGGATACTCATTGGCTATCACCATCGTCGCCGCCGGACCATGTAATCCGCGAACGCACACCGACCAAAAGTGTCTTACGGATCTCAACCTGTTCATGGCATGTATAAACATTATCACAGACTTCTTGATCCTCTGTCTGCCGATACCTATGTTGCGCGCGTTGCAGTTGCCCATCAAACAAAAGGTATTACTGGGTTTGGTGTTCGCTCTGGGATCTGGGTAAGCATCCCCAGTTGGTGTGCCGTTTCGCGTTGCGTGCTGACAGCCTCTACAGAGTGGTCGTCATATCCACTGTCCGCATTATATATGTCTACAGTATGATCAGTGATCCTGACTCGACTTACAACGTGGCCAAAGCGTGCATTTTCTCTACAGTCGAGCTCAACGGCGGAGTCATTTGCGCTTGTATCGCGCTCTTGAAGCCTTTCATACAGAAGTATATGCCCTGGATACTTTCCCTCTCGAGCGGAAGCGGGAGCGGAGACGGATCCAGAATTCGCAAACTGAAGATGTTTGTGAAGCGAAGTGGAGAGAAGAGCTATGAACTCCAAAGCGCAGATGCAGATGCGACCAAGCATATCGATAACAGATTGGATCGCCGGATCGCCGTAACAAGATCATACAGTGTTTCGGGTTCGAAGACAGGTAAAAGCGATGGCGACAGCATGGAGGATCTCTTTGCGCCGACCGCAGGCTGGAATGGTGGTCGATAATCGCCTGCCATACAATCGTTCGAGGAAGGCGGTTGGAAACTATCGTGGGGACACGCAAGAAAACCGAAAGAGTACTTTGCGCGGGCTTCTCTGAAGACAGCTACTAGAGATAATGCGAGCATGAGCTTGGCGCAAGCCTCAGTACAGTGTCTCCCATTGAAGGACTATAACTTGTTAGAAAGGCTAGTGACCCTACTCCGGAGGCATATAAGAATATGAGCCTTGTGTATGTATCTTTGTAAAAGGAATCAACATGTTTTCGAGAAGCCTAGTCGAGCTCTGATATAGATTTGCTTATAAGGGTGCCAGACGATCGAAAACATAATGGTTAGCGGTCACGTCATTAAGGATTTCCCAGCACTTACGCAACGAGAGTAAAGCCAGCTTCGTCAGGTCAGGCCAGGCCAGGGTATCAATTTACTGTTCGTTAACTACAAGCACGATAGATCAGAACTTCGAACCTCAAGCGTCAACCTCTGCCCTTAGATTCTGGCGTCCACGAGCGATCGCATCGCCTAGATCCATGTTGGAAGCTTGCCCGCGCATGCTCGAGATGAAGCGACGTCCACCGTCCTTTTGTATCTTCTGCTTTTCCTCCTCCTCTCTATCCTTGATTTCCTGTTGTCGAACACGCTCGGCCCGCTGCTCCTCGAGCGATGTCGCCTCTGCTTGCATAGCGGCGAGACGATCGGCCGCGCTCTGATGGGCTTCAGCATCATTAGGTTGTTTTCTAGGCGGCGTGCGATCCCGTCGTCGGTATGTATGGCGGTCGCGAAGGTCGCCACGATCCTCTCTCCTACGCGGTGATTGAGAACGATCTCGCCGGCTGCCGTGCTTGCGATAGGGTGATCGTGAGCGAGATCTTGACCGTCTACGGTGGCTGTCACGATCGCGACGATCGTCGCGATCCTCCCTCCTGCGCGGCGAGCGTGATCGATGACGCCGGCTGTGTTTGTGCTCTCGCTCTCTGCTCCGCTCCCTATCCCGATGTTTGTGCTTTCGCTCTCGCTCTTTCTCTTTCTCGCGCTTCTCAGCATATTTGGCCTCTTTCTGCGCGTCCTTCATAGCCTTCAACTGCATCTCCATCTTCTGCTTTTGTATCATGAGGAGCGGATCTTGCAGGACTTTCTTTTGCGTGTCGCGAGCGTTATTCGCGTTGGGATCGGCAGCGGCGGCATCGATGCCGACGGCAGCACCTTTCTGTAGGCTCTGTGTGTCGTTGTCTTTCAACAGATTGTCAATCCTGCGCTTGCCCAGTAGGTAGCCCTCGCGCTCCTCCGTAACGCCTGCATCACCACTTGGGCCCGCGTACATCCAGTCTACCCGTCGCTGCACGACTTTGCCGCCATTCTCAGCTTGCAATCGTTGAAGCTCCTCGATTTGTGCTTCTTCTTCGCGTTCCTTGCGAAGTTTCTCGATCAATTTGCGCTCCTCGAGCGCAGACTTCTCCTCTTTCCATACCCTCTCTTGATTCTTGCGCAAGTGCGGATGCCAGGATTTCTTCAGGTTGAGGTCGCCTCCCATGTTTGCGGATGGTGAATGCGATGTGGATGTGATGTAGGTGTGAGAAGGTAAAGGAAGGAAGGCTGGGCTGGATGATGCGCCACAGGCCGCCAAGACGCTAAGTCGGGCCCCACCCAAAAGTTACTGTAACCTCCGCGACTTCTCCGCAAAAGTTTCGAGTGAACAAGTGCGCCTGCATATCGCCCGAGCATACACATTGCGCCAGACTTTGCTCTGCTCCAATAACGTTGTGCGCATTTCATACCATCCAATACGCTTCGTTTGCACAGCAATTCGTACGACACAGCAATGGCGACACGCAAACGAAACGAATACCTTGACGTCGAGGAAAGCGAGGATGAGGAGAGGGGCTACGATTCCGAAGAAGAGAGCAGAGCGCGCATGCTCCCGGCATCAAAGCGACAAAAAGTAGACCACGACTCTGAGGACGAAGAACAAGACGAAGAAGTGGATGGAGAAGAGGACCAAGGTTCCGGCGAAGACGAGGACGACGAGGACGAGCAACACGCGGCGAAGCGCTTTCCATCCAAGAACGCCGAACTAGCACATCTCGAGAAACTTGCTGCATCTCTTCCCTCAGAACTGAAGCTACAATCCACAAAGCTTGGAAAAGCCTTACCACCATCGTCACTCAAGAAAGACAAGTCCGGCGTGATATACCTCTCGCGCGTCCCACCCTTCATGAAACCAGCCGTAATGCGCTCGCTCTTGACACCATATGGCGCTGTGGGCCGCATTTTCCTGACTCCAGAAACCAGTACCTCCCGTACTCAGCGCCTGCGCAACGGAGGCACGCGTCGCAAACTTTTCCTTGATGGCTGGGTAGAATTTATACACAAGCGCGATGCCAAATTCGTCGCCGAGAACTTGAATGCACAGACAATGGGGGGTAAGAAGAGGGGCAGGTGGCATGATGAAGTGTGGAATATCCGATACTTGAGTGGAGTTAAGTGGCACAATCTGGTCGAGCAGATCCAGAATGAGAACGCAGAGCGTGCGGCAAGACTCAGGTTCGAGATTGCACAGGGCAAGAAAGAGAACAAGGCATTCTTGGAGAATGTGGAGAGAGGCAAGGTTGCTAGTGGAATTGAGGCTACAAGGCGGAAGAGAGGGGATGATGTTGACGGTAATAATGCGGCAGTGGAGGCAGCAGAAGCAGTGCAGGAAGCAGATGGGAAGCCAAAGAGGAGGAAGGGAAGGCTAGAGTTCTCGCAACACACGACTACGAGCAAGGCGATGAAGAAGCCCGAGCCAGGCCAGGATGTGAACAGGGTATTGAGTAGTATGATGTAAAGTGAGGCGCATGATATCCAAGAATATGAGTATATTTCAGACTTCAAACTATGTCTGGTGTCCTGTATGAGGTGGAACTTCGTACCGTAATGCAATAAGTGTAACGCCAAATTCCCAATGTCTTTTCGCATGGACAACGCCGGCCCTTTAGAGCAAAATGCCAGGGTATAGTACAATAGTTTCGTTTTCTCGCCTCCTTAAATCGCTGTTCCTCGCTCGAAGCTGTCCCGTATCTCGCTTGTGTATTTGTTGTAGAAGCGCGAGAGCTTGTCGTTGAACTGCTTGTTCTTCTGGTTGATGTACGTGACATCGCCGACATCCTGTTCGTCGCGTATACCCCTTGCGGCCCTGGCCTTCAACCTTGCACGCTCGCCCTTCTCCAGGTCTTCTACTAGCCTATCGACAGCTTCTTTGGATGGCTTGTGATCGTGGCTATACGCTTCGTCGACTGGTGTGTTGATGCGCCCTTGGTTATCGACTGTGTAAATCTCGCCTGCGTCCGTCTCAACGAGTTGGAGAAGGCCGGAAGATACTTGCGATTGCAGTTTCTTTGCTTTCTCCTCTGCGTACGCTTCCATATCTACTTTGCTCATCTGACCAATCTGCCTTTTGTACACCTTGTTCGCCTCGTTCCTGTAGTCTGCAAATGCGACACCATCCCTGTTCTTCGCTTTCTTCTTAAGTCTCTTGTCCCAACTTTCGCTCTCTTCAACCGTGTAGTCCCAATTCCTTTTACGCTCGAAATCAGGGTCTTCGGATTTCAAGAGTTTGTAGGAGGCTTTCTCGTTGAGTGCGCCGAGTTTGGAAATTTGCGCAAGGCGAGAGCTACGATCTTCAGCATCGCGGACCTCGCGCTCTGTCGCTTTACGGCCGTTTACTTTGGCGGCTTGGAGCGCTTTGAAGCGGGCCATTCGTGCGGCAAGGGCGACCTTCGGGTCGGGGTTTGTCGTTGTGGCTAAGGAGTTATCTTCTGGCGCAGTGACTTCCTGGTTGGAAGTCGCATCCGGTGTAGGTGTTTCGGTCGCGCTCATGGTGGTTGAGGCTTCCGCTTCGTCGATTTTCAGTGGTGCAGACACGGTGATGATCTCGTCGTCGGTCTTTGAAGGGGCTTCAGACGCATGCGCCGCTTCGTCTATTTTTACTGGGTTGGCCATGGTGGGTGATTGTTGCTATGAGGACAGTCGCTCTTCCGCGAATTGCTGGATTGACGACTGCCAAGAAACTAGCGCGACCGCCATTGATGCGACAGCCTCAACCACGGATAGAAGCTATCTACTTAACATCATCATTATCACAACATCCAAGTAAAGGTATGCGAGGTTAACGAGGTAACAAACGCAACCAGGATAAAACATACGGATGGCTCGATGCATTAGTTGTCCGTCATATTCCGACCTTTACTACCATACTTTTCCATGTTCTGCTCACCCATCTGGTCTACATCGCGACCCGCATATCTTTTCCTACGTTTAGCAATACCTGAATTATAATTATATTGCTTTGTGGAGATACTCACAAGATATTCCACCACTAGCAATGACGTTTTCGCTAGAATTGGTCTCAATGGCAGGGAACACTAAGTAGGTGACCACCCCACCACCAAATGTAAAGTCTGTGGGGCTGGATTTCAGTAGCTTCCCTACGACTGCTTCTTTCATATGGGTAAAGGTTAAACAGAAAGGATGCATATATAAAAGCTTGGCTACCACGTCTCATAACAACTAACAACAGATCAAGCGCACCTGCAGACCGCAAGCTGCAGTGCAAGGAAGTCAACTCATTAGACTTTCATCATGGCATTTTCCATCTACATCGTCCTTGCGCTCGCGACCTTCGCGAGTACATTTTCAACTCTTCACCCCCGCCAATCTTCAACCGTAACCGTCGACCCAGCCAAAATCTACCAGACCATAGATGGCTTCGGTATATCTGAGACCTTCCAACGCGCAAACCAAATACATGCCCTCTCGCCCTCACTTCAGCGTTACGCCCTAGATCTGCTCTTTAACCGTACTTCAGGCGCCGGCTTTTCTATCCTTCGTAATGGTATTGGTTCATCTCCGGACTCTAGTAGCGACCACATGGTTTCCATTCAACCCAAGAACCCCGGTGGTCCAAACGCAGTGCCGAAATATGTATGGGATGGTAATGATAACAGCCAAGTTTGGGTCAGTACGGAGGCAGTGAAGACGTACGGTGTGGATACTGTATATGCAAACGCATGGTCAGCACCAGGCTATATGAAAACGAACAACAATGATGCGAATGGAGGATCACTCTGTGGAGTATCTGCAGCTAGTTGTTCGAGTGGAGACTGGAAACAAGCATACGCAAACTACCTGGCACAGTACATCGTTTACTATAAGGATATCGGTGTAAACATCACGCATCTGGGATTCCTGAACGAACCTGATCTTACGACAAGTTATGCCAGTATGAGAAGCAACGGACAACAGGCCGCAGACTTCATCAAAGTGCTCAGGCCGACGCTCGACAAAGCAAATCTTACGAGTGTCAAGATTACTTGCTGTGATGCTGAGGGGTGGAGTAGTCAGCAGGGTATGATGGGTGCTCTGAATGGCGTGAGTAGTATGTTAGGTACGATTACTGCGCAGTAAGCCACTCCTTCTCTCTGCAGGCGTTAATTCCATGCATTAACAACGATCCAGTTCCTACACATCTCAACCTAACAGCCCAATAAATACCCCGCACAATGTCTGGCAAACAGAGAATGCGGATCTTCAAGGCCCTTGGGCAACAGCATTTTACAGTAACAACGGCGCAGGCGAAGGACTGAGCTGGGCGAACAAAATTCATACTGCTCTTACAACTGCCAACGCCTCAGCATACTTATACTGGATCGGTGTCCAAGGCGGAGCAAAAAACAGCAAGCTCATTCGCATCTCCGATGATAAGAAGTCAGTAATACCTAGTAAGCGTCTTTGGGCATTTGCGAATTGGAGTAGGCATGTGCGACCAGGCGCGGCGAGGATAGGCGCGAGTGGCGGTCCGAGTGGAAGTCGAGTTAGCGCTTTCAGGAATGTGGATAAAAGCTTAGCGGTGCAAGTTATACAAGGAGGGACAGTAACAGGTACGGTGACAGTCAAAGTGAACGGCTTTGTCGCGTTTGCGGCCAAGGCATGGATCACAGACAATGGGCATGATTGCGATGAAATAGTGGCGACGCTGACAGCGGATGGGACTAGTGTTAGCGCGCAGGTGCCGGGAAGAAGCATGGTGACTTTCGTGCTTAGCCCATCCATGTAGATGAGATCACTTGTAACGGTATTAGAAATGTTTGTCTTTAGTAAGGCCGGGCAAGATACGGCTTGATCGTGGATCGTGACGATGTGTGTATCTAAATTTTCTTACAGGACAGTGGTATCTAGATGGGCTCGTCTCTTGGCTCGATGAGCACCTCGTTCACGGAAACATGCTCCGGCTGCTTGAGCGCATATACAATGCATTCCGCAACATTCTCTGGGTCCAGAACCTTTGCTCCGCTTGGCTCTCCAAACTTCTTCAACGCCTCTTGGTCTGTGCTCATACCCAAGAGATCAGTTGCCACATTTCCTGGCTGCACGGCAGTGACTCTCAGTCCAGTACCAGCAGTCTCGAGCCTTAAGCTTTGTAGTGTAGCTTCGACAAAGAACTTAGATGCGGAGTAGACGCCTAGGCCAGGGAAGACCTTCCGTCCAGCATCCGAGGAGATGGCAAGGAGGTGGCCCTTTCCACGTTTGAGCATCGAAGGCACGATGGACGAGATGACGTTGAGGAGACCTTTGCAGTTGACGTCGACGGTTTGGTTCCACTGGTCTGTGTATGTGTTGGCCATCATGGTGAAGTACATCACTCCTGAAACATTCACGAAGATATCGACAGGTCCAAGTTGGCTCTCTGCTGCAGCAACGAGGGCTTCAACCTGAGATTTGTCGGTAACATCGGTCTTCTGTGTAATGACCTTGCCTTCGCGGATGACGAGTCGCTTCTTTAGATCTTCTAGGGCGTCGATGCGACGAGCTGCAAGGGCGACATGGCAGCCCTCTCGGGCAAGAGCGGTGGCGGTGGCAGCGCCAATACCAGATGATGCACCCATGACTACGGCAACCTTACCGAAGAGAGGACCTCTTCGGGGAAGCTTAGCAGAGCCTCCTGCTGCGTCCTGCTGCGTAGGAGGCTTTGGTAGCCATCCTCGTGCATACCAGTGCCGTGTGTAAGTCTCAAGAAGTACTTGGTCCACCTTCGGGCGCTCTACTGCAAGTCGTAGCGGCCTGGTCTTCGCATTATCGAGTACGACGACATCCCTGAGAAACTCGATGCTAGGCATACCGCTTCGCAGGATATCGACCGTGAAGGCACCATCACCACCCTTGGCAGAACCACGCTTGTCATCCCAAAGACTGGTCCACTTCTCAAATTCCATCGGCTGAGTTGGGTAACCTAGCGCGTTGAGATCTTGGAAGACCTTGCTGACATCGACTGGATCGGGGTCTCCAATGTGGAAAATGGTTTGGTCAGTCTCGGTTTGGTTGCTGAGGTGCATTATGGCCTTGCTGACGAAGTCGACTGGGGTCATCTCCGCACGCCAGCCCTTGACATCAGGATAGTGGCCGATTCTGACTGACTCAACAATCATGGCGGTCAACAGATCCCATGCGTTAGCAGCACCTGTCTCGCTGTGGCCACTGATGGTTCCAAGACGGTGGATCTTGATGGGAAGACCTCTTCGACCAGCCTCCAGAGCAAGCTGTTCGGCCACCCACTTTGTCTGACCGTAACCATCGGCGAGTTTGGTTACTTCATCAACATCAAGCATAGCGTCTTCTGACCACCCTTCACGACCTTTGGCAGGAAGGAGCACTCCGTTAGTAGAAATATACTGCACGGTGGCACCGCCTTGAGCAGCAAGACGAAGAACCTCTCTTGTACCACCAACGTTGGGTTTCTGCAATGCAGCGTAGGGATAAACCAAGTTGACAGTGGCAGCCGCATGGACTATTACATCAATGCGTTCCGCCAACGTCTTGAACGTGTCAGGAGCTAGACCAAATCGCTTACGCGACAGGTTTCCTGGAAGAATCTCGACACGCTCCATGATGTTATCGCTCCACAGACCAAAGTCCAGCAGGTTCCTGCGTATCCTAGCAATACCGGCAGGTATATCGTCTTGTGAGGAATCGGCAAACCGGACCATGCATACGATCTGAGCCGACGTGCTCTCGAGTAGATCTCTGAGAAGGAAAGCACCCAAGAAGCCGGTGACACCAGTAAGTAGCACGGTCTTCGCATCTTTGAGCGCACACATCTTGGCATCTTTGGGCTGGATCTCCTTATCCAGTACAGAATCTGCACGTAAGACAGCAGGTAAATTTTCCTGTACTTCGGCGGTATGTCCGTCACGAATAGCACGGACAGTGTCCAGATGGCCATTAAGCGTTGCTGGAGTAGCGAGGCGTGCCACTGGTACCCTAAATCCGAATGTGTTTGATAAGCGCGCAGCCAGGTCGGCAAGTAGCAGTGAGTGACCACCTAGATCGAAGAAGTTGTATTCGGGGGTAATGGAGCTTGGGCTGATGCTCAATATAGATGCCCAGATTTCCGTAATCTGCTCGATGGAGATGGGGCTCTGCTCGAATTTTCGTGCGCTTCCAGTAGGAGATGCAGGCCTGGGAGGAGGAAGAGCTTTGAGATTAACCTTCCCAGATACGTCGCTTGTTGGAAGGCTATCCATCTCCACCCAAAGTGCGGGTATCATATAGTGGGCGAGATATGCCATCAACATACGTCTGGCAGTCGAGCTGCGGCCGGTTCGGTCGATCTCAACTTCTGGACGCTCTGTAGACGTATCCTTGTCCCTCACAATGTATGCAACCAGTTGTCTGTCAATGCCTTCCCCGAAGGGTACTACAGCGCAATGGCTGACAGCTAAGTGGTTGAGGATTGCGCTCTCGACCTTTCCAGGTACCACAGAGTATCCGCGGATTTTGATCATAGCGCCAACACGGCCAGTAATCTCGAGCAACCCATTCGATAAGAGGCGTGCTTTGTCACCAGTCCTGTACATGCGAGCACCGATCTTCGAGCTGTACTGATTCCGAATGAAAGCCTTGGCGGTAGTCTCCGGGCGATTTAGGTATCCTCGAGCAAGCAAATGCCCACCTACGCAAAGCTCTCCGTTCTCTCCTTCATCCACTTTCTGGCCACTCTCGTCCACGATATAGATGTATTTCCTATCGATGAGGGGAGGTCCCACAGGACAGTAGGCGGCATCCTTATCCAGCTTCTCAAGCATATCCTTGATATCTCCAGAAGCAATCTCGTGTGTCTCACATGCGCTGTATACATTGAGTAGGCGAGTATTGGGTAAAGCTTTGATACCACGACGTGCAAGGTCGGTGGTCACAACTTCGCCGTTTAGCCAAACAGTCTTCAGGTTCGGCAGACGCGTCTCCAGCGCTTGGTGACGAGCAAGAACGGCAGAGAAAAGTGTTGGTGTGAAGAGAGTTTCGGTGATCTTCTTCGAGGCAAGCAAATCGACAAGCATGCGCGGGTCATAGCTTGCTTCGTCCGGTACAGCAACAACTGTTGCACCTCGCAGCAGCGGGCGTAGAATTTCCCACACGAAAAAGACATTGCAGGCTACTCGATCGCCTGGTTGTACGTCCGAAAGCCCGAAGCGAAGGTTATATGAGAGAACTGCTGCTCGATGTGGATTCGCGATGCCTTTCGGCTTACCGGTCGTTCCACTGGAGTATGCAACAAATGCCAAGCGGTCCAAATCGGTGTCCTCGGGCAGTGGCTTCAGCTCAGACTCATCTAGCAGGCCGTTCGTAGTTGAGCTGGTTTCATCCAGAACAACAAGCGGGGTGCTTCCCTTGATCTTGCCAACTTCGGCGCTGATAGTAACCACGAGAGTCGGCTGAGCATCCTCGAGAACGTCCGCAAGGAGATCGGGAGGATAGGCCAGTTCCAGGACCAAAAATGCACCACCGGCCCGTAGTGCTGCTAGACAGGCGATTACATAGTCGGCGGATCGCGGCAACAGGACACCAACCAAGCTGTCACGGCCGACGCCATGGCCCCGCAGCCGTTCGGCGAGGGCAGCGACTTTGTCGTGGAGCTCTTGGTAAGTGTATGTATGATTGTCGTCTTCCAACGCAATCAGATCCGGGGTAGCATGGACCTGTTTCGTGAAAAGTGCCGAAAGGTCCTTGGTAGTGTCGATGACGGACATGGTCTGGAATTTTCCAAAGGAGGGGCAGATGGAGAATCAAAGCTTGCGAGTGACGGGTACCCAACGTCTTATTTATCGAATTGCGCTCCCCATAAGTCAAACCGACTGTTCTCGTTGAGTGATGCAAAGCGTGGGGAATTTGGCTCGTTGAGGGTGAGATGGCTCGCTAATTCCTTCGTGCATCATGGCACTTTCCTTGTCTTGAGGTGGTGCCGAGAGCGCCTGCCGATAACGTCATTTGCTAGCGTCGACTAACAATTCCACAAACCCATATTATTGCTCAGTGATGCGCATCGTTGAAGCCGTCGGAATGCTCCCGGTGGCTGGTTGGCTCTTTGTTGACAGCTTGCATGATCACCATCCAGGTTGCTGCCGATACAATGTGGCCGCTTGTCGGGTCGTCGCGCGATAGCCCCAGCCTAGAAAACTCGTAGTGCTCCATCAGTGGATAGTGGACGGTCGCGTGGCTGCTGCTGACACTGCTTGGGCATTGTTGGGGACCTGGGGATACGTGAGGCGTCGTGGGCTTGCGTCGTCACGCTGGGCAAGAGTCGAGGCAGATCTCCGTACTGTGCACAACCAGCATTGCTGTGTGGTTGAGAGTTTCGCTTCGTATTCTCGTGGATACTTTAGAAGTTCCGAAGTTGTCCTATTGATTTACTGGATGTCGCAGGTGGCTCCGGCAATGGAGTGTTCGCTTAGGTAGATGCATTCAGCACAACAAGAGGTCTCTGTCGTTCAAGTAAGCATTACAATGAGTAGTCAAATACCGAATCACTATTACATCCTATGGCGATGAGATGTAATCTACTGCTAGTCGGCCTCATGACGTTGACGAAAGGCTGGCTGGATAACCTGCGGAGGCCTCATAGAGCACGTTCGCAGGGTGCCAGGCGGGTCAAACAGCGGAAGCTTAAATCATGAATGTTGCGCAAACCATGTCACTTACTTAACACGTAGTGTATAACTAGAGTAACGCTGTGCAGGTCAGAGACGATGGAGAGCCAGTGCTGAGGTCGTTCAAGAGGAATGCGGGGGAAGGCGCTAAGACGCGGTAACATAGCCAGACATAAGCCTTGCACAAGATCGACCTGACACATCCATTGTCGACTGACTAATGCGCCTAACGCACAAGACTACATTAAAAGTATACGAGAGTCATGAACAGCTCCAAGGCGCTGACTGTGGTTAACCCTGCCACTTTGTACGCCTCTGCCGAAACATAGATACCATACCAATCGGCAGCAGCCCGAAGTCTACTACATTGAGACCACCGAACTTGTCAATCATCTCCGGGCCGTACATCTGTGTGATCCACTTCCAGTAGGCTTCCATCGAACTCCATTGCGCGGTGATGCCGCGCAAGGTATTCTGACCCTGGAGTTGCTGCTGAGCCTGTAGCACAGGTTCGCTTGCATTTATGGACTTTTCTTGTGGTCGCTCAAGCAACTCCTTGTAAACGTCTAACAAGCTCGCCCTACCGGTAGTTACGAATGCCTCGGTGTATCTGGCAAATTCCTCGAAGGAGAAGAATGTGTCAGGGTCTTCAGGCCTCCAGTTCGCATCCTCGACATTGCGACGCGTGGGACGACGAACGCCCTTATCGAACGCGCGCTTAGCAGTGTTATAGTCACTACGCAAGGTGTTTTCGTACTCATCCAGCAGATCGTATGGGTTCTCCTTGACCGATTCCCGAATTTGCAATAGGCCAACGAATGGAGATTTCAGGTCCAGACCTCCAAGCTCGACGGGGAAGAAGAGAAACCCATCTGGGACGTCTTCGACAGAGAAGCGTTCTTTGATCGTTGTCTTTAGATGTTGCACAATGTTGCCATCGGGGAAAATGCTGTTTTGAATGTGGCGGTGGGTGGCGAGCATCATGTCAACGTGCTCGCGTCCGAAACAATTGGCCGCCATCCCGAAGTTGGAGCTGAAGAAGGTAGCTGCGTAGGAATTCTGTTCCATCTGATCAGCTGTTCTGTCGTGGAACCGATGGACTTGAACTACTTACCCAGATCTGTATATAGTCGATAACACTCTTCATCTTGCCATTCAGCTGCGTGCGCAGCTCTTCCACGTGGCCATCGACCATCTTTTGGTCGATCTTGAACCTTCCACTCTTTGGGTCAAGCTGCAAGAAGCCCCATCGAATGTCGCCCTTCGGCAGGCGATCGTCAGTCTCAGCATCAGAGTCGTGCGAGACGCGAACACTGCCCGTTTTCTTCTCGTCCAGCTGAAGTTACTGTTAGCTAGTCTATCACAGTGATTTTTTGCCCAATAACTAACCTTGACTCCCGTCAAATCAACAAACTTGACAATACTTTCCCAGGCATTAGTACACGTATCATGATCCTGGTTCCAGAACCAAATGTCATCGCCGAGACGGTGTAGGTCTGGCCCGCCAGTGGCTTGGTTCACAGCGAAATCCAAACAGAAAAGCACGGCCTCCCCTAACGTATCACTCAGGGTATGGGAGCCTGGCATTCCTCGGCGGCGCAAGCGAGGCTCGGATGATTGATCGTCCACGAACTTCAGTGGTGCCTGCAGGTAACGCGCAAAGAACTTCTGCCATCTGTTCGATATGCCAAGGAAGTCTAGAACGGTAGAGATGGTTTGATGTGGCAACAATGGATTCCAGGAGTCGAAAGTTGTATGCAGACAGTACAGTTGTCCGTGCAATCTCGTGTTCAGTACGATTTCAGTGGATACGAGGTGAAGTAGGGTTTGCTTCGCTTGCATCGGTTTCTTGGACTGACGGCGGTATTCTTGATCTTCCGGGCTATACGTATCTCTGTCGTTCTCCATTTCCTCTTCCTCCATAGACTCGCGCTGCCCTGACTCTGAAGAAGCAGCTAGCACCCCATTGTAACCGGTAGACATTCTTGCTGTCTGCATTGTACGACCTCTGCCTAGTTCCTGGCTCGCAATGGAGTGCATTCCCTGTACCGATGCCCTTTGACGCTTTTGGACAACGTAATCTCCGTACTCTGCCTCCTCTTCACCTTCGTCTGCCTCAATTTGCTGAGTGTCATAATCTAGCAATTGGTGGACAAAATATCTATTGCGATGTATGCTTTCGCGCTTCTTTTCAACGGTCGAGTGAACTCGAATGCCTTGGTCGCCCAGAAAAAATGATCGTCGCAGACGGTCGGTTTTTGAAACTTCTGTGAAGTTTCTCTTCCAGGCTACATGCTTGTGCATGTCCAAGAATGCCGATTTGAAGAACACGGACCTAAAAGTTGAGCAGTTAGAGACAACATTCTGGATCATTTGAGTGGACGACGACTCACCACTTCACACCAATGTGATGGAGAAAGATGGCCTGAAGAAGGTCCGGATCGAAGTGGATGGAGAAGTCACCGTTAATCTTTCTTCTCTGCTCTAACAGGACATATGGCCCCCAGGTCCAACGATCAAGGGCCGTCATGCGCACGTTGAGGATGTCACATAACTCCGCGAGTATCACGTCTGTGAATCGTTAGCTATGAGCACTCTAGAAACTCCATGCGTACTTACCGTTGCTTAGAAAGTCTCTGAGCGCCTCTCGCTTCTCGTTTGAGAGAAGATTGGAGTTCAAGAGCCCTTTTATGGTTGAGCGAAGGGTACTGTTGTTGAAGGATGTCGAGCTCTTGAAACTCAGCTCGAAGTCTTCGACCTTTTGGCGCAACTTCAGAATTGCAGCGGAGCCGTCTTTACTATCTGTCTTGAATAGCTCATCAAGATATGATCTCAGAGCTTGCTCGTCTACTTCGGCCGCGTTGAAGACGTCTTTCTCCCACTCAGCACGGGATGCAAGCTTCTTAGCACCAGGTATTTCCTCAAAGCTCTCGCCCATCTCAATATCGCCATCTTCGCTTGCATGTCTCTCGGAAGAGAGCCATTCAGTGACAAGTTTGCCGTAGAGGTCGGCATACTGAAACTTGGTGGTCTGAATCGAGAGGTATCTTAAGAGGGTTTCTTCCCAATCCGAAAGAACGTCAGATGAAACGGAAGGGTCGAAACGCGCCTGCTCGATGAAGCGATCGAGGTTCTTGAGGTCAGTCTCGAAACGCACGTTTCTAGATGATCCACTAATCACTGATCCTGTACGGCCGTTCTTGGTCCTTTTTTCTGTCTGGAAACCAAGACATGCTTTTGAGCCGTCAAGGAGGAGACACAGTCGCTTTAGCGGGTCTGTTTCAGCTTTCGCAGCAGCGACGAGTGCAGCATAATCTTCTTCAAAGACAGTGCGCTGCTTCGCGAGTTCTTCGAGTTTTGTGGTTGTGATCGTCTGGAGCGTCGCGCCAAATACACTACCCGATGAAGTCGCCATGGCCAATGACACAAGCGTATACTATGGGCGATATCTCGGTGATTTGGCTGTAGAAAGGGGTCTGAAGATACTTTTCGGTTCTGAGCACTAGGATCGGGCAAACAGCGGCGGCGAACGCCAGTACTCACAGACTTGAGGGTGAGAGGCCTTGGATAGAAAGCCGAAGAGATCACCAGGCTATATAGAGACGCAATTGCACTTCTGTAGGCAGCAGGCGCTTGGCAAGGCAGCCTTGGTGTGCATTTTTATCCAGCCTGTAATGCGGGGATCACTCAACACTCGAATATGCTACATTCTGTTGGAAATCACAACTTACCAGTGATGTCACTACGTATTGAAACCCAGTGGCGGGTTTGGCAATGAAGCATTGGAGGGATACTGGACACATCTAAACGACGTCGTGTTTAAACGATGCGTTGCCATTCGAGATCCAAAATGTAAAATCATAGATACGGTGAGCTTCGAGACCTTTGAATATGGTACATCGAGCGCTGATGGAGCTTGTTCTGCGAGAACAGGGTTTTCGTACTATGGACAGGAGGAGTTGAAGCTCGCTCAGGTGAGGAGTGACATAGGTGGCGTCCTTCCTATCGATAAGTGCACGGGCCTCCTTTCTCGACAATAACCTCTACTGTGCTGTGCCTCTCGACCCCTCGTCCGACATACTCTGACTCATTAGGCTGCTGCCTTCTCATAAATTGCTCTCTGGAACAGCTCATGCAGCTTCAGTATGCTCGGGCTCATCGGTGGTATGACTTGGCAGAATGCTACGCCGCAGACCCCAGCTTCGAAATCGAGATACCAGGTCATGCTCGGTACACCTCCCCAGAAGACGGTTCCAGGGTTCATACGTCCTTGCTGGCCCTGTTCAACAATCATCCCAGCGAACGACCATTGCTTCTCAATATCCGTTGGCAGACACATGCCGAGATACTGCGTATGCAGCGGTGAACACTTGAGGTAGTTGTTGAACTCTTGTTTGCACTTCTTATCGAGCTGTGGCTTGAAGAGCTCCGTCCAGGAAGCCTCACCTAACAGCTTGTGGTCGTGCCTTAGAACGGACTGGAGGAAAGCAAAGTAGGCTTCAGCGCTCGAAAAGCATCCAGCGCCCCCCAAGCAGTCGGTGGCACCGAACAGGACGTCAAAGCCATTAGTATCTGCTACCGGGCCTTCACCCTGTTCGTTTAGTGTGCTGATAGTCGCCATCCGATCCTCTATGTCGGGTCTCGTTTTTGGGTAGAAGGTAATGTCATGTATGCCCAGTGGCGTCCATATCTTCTCTTTCATGAAGGCGTTGAGTGTCTTCCCGGACACTTTTTCGACGAGTTTACCCGCCCAATCTGAGCCTGCGCCATATCTGAAGCTAGTGCCTGGCTCGTATAGAAGCGGCAGAGTGGACTTTTCCTCTACAGTCGGTCCACACCAAGGGGTCTCTCCACGACTTGCACGCCACTTCATCAGATCAGGATTGAACCAGTCATACTCATGGCCATTCGTGTGACTCAGTAGCATCCTGTTTTGGTCAGATAGGCAGCAGCTAATAGACTAGTGCGAACTCACCTCAGGGTGATCGGCGTCGTATGAGGCACAGTGACCGCCTCATTTTTCTGGTCGTCGAAACCGGTCATGATGCCGTACTTTCCAATACTAGGCAGATGCTTGGCTACGTCTTCATCGAGCGTGATAAGTCCTTCTTCAACGCACTTCAAGGCTGCCACGGCGGTCATGAGCTTTGTCATCGATGCGATAGCGCATATTGTATCAAGCTGGAAAGGGCGTGTCGAGCCCTCTACGAGCGACTGAACACCTTTTGCACCCGAGTAGAGGATCTTGCCTGCTCAATTATCAGATACTATTCATACGAACCGCGTACGATTACACACCATCTTTGTCACCCGCGAGTAAAGCATATCCGGGAAGGATCTTGTCTTCGATAGCTTTATCGTACGCCTTTTCAAATTCTGTCATGTTGGCTGTGCTTTGACTATGGGCTTGTTAACTACGAGGATGGGATGTGATCTCAAAGTCACTCTTATATCCACCATTATACTGTCGCGGATATCAGAGGCATTGTAGGGTGTACTTAGATCGTGTACATGCTGACTGCATGCTGCAATGGTCAGAATTAAATCGACTCAGCCAGCCGATGAGTGCTTGGCTAATGACCAATCGACTTTATTCCCATTCATCTGACGACTCTACTCCATACCGACATTCAGCTCCATCCAACTCATGCGCTTACTTCGATTCCAGGTACATGCACCGAGGCTTACACGAGACACATTGGGTCTAGATTGGGTACAGCTCCCTGGCTACATTTCAGCTGGGGCAACGCATCCGACGACATCTACGACCTCCTGCATAATCGTGGCACACTCTCGTACGAACAGTTATTCCTTGGTTGTGCAGCTTGTGTCAAGGTTGCCGATCCTAAGCGCCTGAGCGCACAGCGGCTGACGGGAAAAACAATCGTAAGCTCGGGAGAAGACAAACCCGGGGCCGCTCTTCCGTAACACGCCAAGCGCGTTAGATATTCCGCGACGATACCCACTGCGCTTGCGACTAGTTATTTCTGGTGGTCATCCGATTCCATTCTCATTTGGTCGCAGCTCCAGTAAGGGCCACCACTTTGACTGTTAGGGGCGGACAACGCGTTTGGCATTGCCGAAGTCTCATCATTCGCGCACAATGCATGTGCTCTCATACCACGAAGGAATGCAAATCTTATCCTAATTCCACCCATCAGAGGGATATTATTAAATATACTCATTAGCTTTGGTCATGTTTTTTTTTGTGGATACAGTGTTGCCCTTGCGATTGCGTTCGAGCTCGCCAAGGTGCGCTTGTTTAGGAGCTACAGCCCTATTCTTTGACAGCGCTAGATCGTTGCTCCACGCTTCTGGTAACTTGGATACCTCCTCCTTTCACAGGCAATATGTATTCTTCACTGCCAGTAGTGCCTTGCCCATGCACCATGTTCACCATCTGATTATCCTCGAGGGCAACCCACTCCTCATCCCTTCCACTCAAACGGCTCTTTATAATCGGGCGTTTCGCGTAGCCTGCTGCAGGTGTATGTTGAGGATTGGTGCCGCCGCTGCTTCCGAGTTTGAGTACGCGCTGGAGGAGAGGGCGAAGTGTGGCAACGCATCCTACGATCATGCCGACGCCATTCTCGGCGTAACCCCACAGGATCACCTTCGATACACCATCTGGTGGGGAGGTTAGTTGTTTATCCGGTGGTTGCGGCAAGGGCGATCCGGAGAAGGGAGATCACTTACGGAGGTAATCGGTCGAGCTCGTGAGATTTACAGTATAGACCAGGCGGATGCAGGCTGAAAGACTCGCTCTGTAACGCATTAGACGGCGATCGCGTTCCCAAGACATAAGCGAGACTTACAAGGCACCGAGGCCGAGAATGACACCGACCGAAAGCTTAGCATTACGGTTCAACTGTACATTCCAAAGCAGCGGTATGGGCAAGAGCGCGCAGAACCAATCCGTCGCAATGTTGACCGCAGTCGTCGCGTAGTATATGTCCGCCAGTGTTTGCGCTGGGTTGCATTTCCCACCAGGGGTCGAAGTATCCCAAGCCCACGACACCGGAGTGCACTGAAAAATGATGTACAACATCGCAATCAGGTTCATGACGATGAACATGGCCGAAACGACCCACAGGGCGTAGATGTAGGTAACTCTTCGTGATGCGATGCGGATGAGCATGAATGTGATGCTCATCTTAATTGGGATGATAGCCGCGCAGTAAAATACTTCGAAGAAGAAGAAGAACTTCATGACTTAGCAGGTAGAGATACAAGCGCTGAATAGCAACATACCTCCATTCCTTGTACTTTTTCTTGATCACTTAGTCTGGAGTCGTGGACTCCAACTCCACTGAAAGCACCCCCTATGCATGCTATCGTCAAGCCGGTAAAGGGGACCTATATCACCATAAGCTGAGCTGTCCAGAAGGATGACCTAGAGGTTTACTTACAGTGGCAGCTGTCATGCTCCAGTCGTCTAAGCCCCAAGCATTGTTGTGTAGTCTCGTATAGACTCGTAACCCGAAAAGAGTGAACGCGATTACTGTCAGCGCGATGACCGAGGCAGCAAGTTCAGGAGCATTGTCGCCGTAGTAAGTCATAGTGATACCCTAACGCTGACAGCCGCGATGTGGGGGATGAAGGGATGAGATATACAAAATGATCCACGCAAGAAAGGAACGACTAGGGAGGAAGCTTGTGGAAACACATCAGGATGCAACGCAAAGACGCATGTGCTTCAGGACATTGCGATCAGTTGTGAAGCAGGCTTAACCGGAGGGAACAAGCCGAACTGGTTTCAAGAAGGGAAAGAATTGGACGCATATCAACCTGTTATCGGTGATCTCCCGGGAATCCCTAGTACCCACCCCAGACCAACGAATAATTCGACAGTTGTGTTGTGCACAAGCCGCCAGAAAGACCCACGCAGGGCGAATTTTCTTCGCTTTCTAGCATAGCTCCTGGGGCGGATATTAGGATCCTGCTGGAAGGAACAGCGAACCACACCCGAAGGGCGTTCCCGTCTCGAGGTTAGATACATATGGCGCGGGTCGCCTAAAGATGACACCGGTGAAGCTGGCACGGCTGGACCAAGTCCTCGGTGCCATTGCGTGCCTGGCTTCTGAGCGGCTGTTATAGCTGGACCCTGAAGGATGAGAGGATTCGAGACAACGCTTCGCGTGCGTTGTGTCCATGGAGTGGCCCTGTTGGAATGTAGGGATATTGGCATTCTGATACAACGTGCCGTGCGGACTTCATCAAACAGTGATCCTACGATGCTTTTTATCGCAATACCAAGAGAACATTATCCGGAGAGATCGCCATTGTCTACCTTGTCGCTGTTGTATAACCGTGCCCAGCGTGCCGTGAGGCTGCTAGCCGCGACGGCTGATGAGCTCGTCGTCGGTAGGGGATACGGGTAGCGCAGGTCGCTGGTGAACCTGCGTTAGTCGAAGCTCGCTTGAGAAATGCTCCGCAAAAGGCCCGAATACCATACCCTGTACCTTGAATTAACGACTCCAACCGCATCGCATATGCATTGGAAACGGCTCGCGAAGAGGCACGGGTGGAAGGGGCTCATGGAGGATGGCAGAAAGCATGGGGAAGGGATGCGAATGCGATGATTACTCTGAACCCCCTGAATAGCTCGGTACACTCATTCCTAGTGGAGCGCGTGACCGGGCTTCTCAGGGCATGCCGTCTCGTGCGAGGGATGCAAGAGTGCAAGTGCCAACCAACATCATACTGGACAGCGGCACATGTAAGGTATAGTAATGCCAGTGGTGGGGGCGAAGAGTCAGCGTGCCGTCACCTTACGTACCTAGGGTACCCAACAGACGCGACTTCCTATGACGTAAACATATAGCGCTACCTAAGCACAAGCTTGCTCTAATCCTACGAAACAGCTCCCGAATAGTTCCCTTGTCTCGATCCGTCTCTACACATGATAAATCTTATCTGGGATTTGTTTACGGTTTGACAGCCTGCACATATAGGTGTCAGAACCTTGGAAGTGTCACCGCAGCTCACACTATATACAATGGGGGCCCTTAGGGGCCTTTGGCATCTATCTGACTGTCACTCGGAAGCCTGTAACTACTGACGATCTGTCCAACAGCAGTTTACGGTGCTTTCCATGGAGTCCGTAAGTTAATTGCATCCAATAGATGGGAAGGCTACCTCAGTGGACCCATGACATTGTAGTGCTTAGGTATGCTTACAGGGCCGACGGTACATATCCTGGGAATTTGTCAATCTACGTACCCACAGGTTCACCTGCTACCATCCCATCCGCACCGTATAGTTGACCTCCGAGTTTGGCGACCGACAAATCGACAGGCTACTTCTGTAGTACGCTCCATCCCCCATGTTCGCGCTCGAGTCGACGAGAACGAACACTATTGGTACCTCTGGTCTAAGCTATGCTTCTAGATCCAGGATTGCCTTCGACTGATGAGCGCAGGACCAAAAGATCAGCATAGGATTATCCAGAGTATAATGCTTCGACTGTCGACTATGTCTGATTAGCAACGACATGCGAAATCAGTTCGGAACTAGCCTGTTAGAATTCGGTTGCCTACACCAGCTCAACTCTTCCTGACGTGTGGCTCTAATATCCGGAGGTCCACTCCCACCCTCACAGTTATAGTATAAGAACCCCTGTGAGTGTGAGTCGATTACTGCACCACGTAGATCGCTCTCGACAAGCACAATATTGCTTCTTACGTGGTCTTCTTGAGCACCGATGATGGTTTTCTGACGTTACTAAGCGATTACAGTGGCCGATTTGCTCTCTTTTCTTTTCCTCTCCGAAGTGTAAACCCTACAGGACCCAACGATTGGGTTCGTTGCTACAGATTCTCTGCATTCGAAAGTTGAGTTTTTCGCCTTCTTGATCCGACAATTAGCAGTTGGTCTGCTGCGTACCATCATCCAATCGCAGATCCCTCTGCGGAATGATGTACCTCGAATATGCTCAAGGTGTGAGTGTGAAAAAGTGTACCTCCGCCGACGCTCCCGCTGGCAAAGTTTCCATGCCACGTAGCTTCTTGGACATATACACAAAGCCGCATACACGTCAACCCTTTGAAACTTCTGATGCGGTAATCTTTGGAAGAAGGAGAAGAGAGAATTTCCGAGTTTGGTGCGATGGTGCCTCACTTTGTTCATCAGCTTTCGCCGCTGCGAACCATGGGACTTGGGAGATACTTGGGAGATCATGGACCTCCACTATGCCAGCTAGAAGATTAAGTATTATACTATGTGTAATCTCTTGAGCGATTTAGGCCGTCGTCTAACACGCATAATTCGCACGTTCGACCCGGCCAGCCTCGACACTCTTCCATTCTTCCTCAGCACTTATTCACCAGGACACTTGACTCTCTGATCAGTCGTAGCAGTTTCATACGCTGGAGGACGGTGCAAATAGCTGATGTTGCCCAGCCAAACAATAACGCGCGTCGCTGCATTGTACCTGGCACACATCTGTACGACCTGGTGGTTCCTCTTGGCAATGTTGTTTTAGTCGATGCAGACTGTGAATTCTCATGTATTCCACGAGCCCCTAAGTGCGGGAAAAGCAGTATATCAGAGGCTAGGTCCACATGTCAAGCTAGGATCGGAAGAAGCAAGGAAGACGCGTAGTGGGCGTGAGCGAACCCATGGGGTAATGTTGAATAGATGGGTTTGAGATGAGTGCAAATAGCAAGGGGCTTTGTCGAAGTCAAATGGGCTCGATGTTGGACGCGTAAGACATGGGCGATGTGTGATTGAGGTTTCAGAGGGGTGGTGCAAAGCGTGATGGAGGAAGTTCGGGGTGCAAACAGGCGTCGCACACTCAGATCAGGTTGCACATGTCAAGGCGTCGGTGCCCAATCGGGCGAGCGTCATGCGCGCCTGCCGTCAACAAAGATAAGAATTCGGAATGTGGTCGTGGAGATGCAGGAATGGGAGGGCAGAATGAGTGATTCGAGGGCAATAAGCCTGATCCATGGAACCCTTGTGAGACGAGTGTTGTGTTCACCCCGCCATGCCACCTGCTGTTAGTCTTTTCCCCACCAACAGACGACCAACGCCCAGACAGTCGCGCCGTCATCACGTCTCTTGTCTCAGTCTCGCGCCCGACGAAGCCAAACAGCACCCACGGCTTTTGATAGACAGCGGCACTTTACCCTTTCCCGACGCCACTCGACGAAGAGGGGGAAAGTGAAGTGGGGCTCCGCTAAGCCACCCTATGCGTGAGCTAAATCGCTGCTCGCCCAACGACATCACCACAGCACGACGACGACTCCGCCATTGTCGCCTGCCTCCATCACATACGCGACCCTCCCGCCGCCGCCGACCAGGACGCGTTGGAACGGCTGTTTCTCGCGCGCGCAAGTAGCTTACGTGACGGGTGTCTACCCGAGCGCTGTCGATCCCTGGTAGCCTGCCCTCGCTGGGCACGTTTGTCACGCCGTCGCCTCTGTCGGTGAAGAAATCTCCTGACGCCCTCTTCGCCCCAATCCAGCACATACGATCCTCACCATGGCGAACGTCGACGAAACCGTTGCCAATGTGCAACGCAAAATCGACCGCGAGAGGGCCCTCATCAATGCCGCCAATGCCATGCGCCAGTCCACCAACAACCCGGCCGTACTTTCCCGTCTCGATGGACAGATCAAAGATGGCCGCCGGAACATCGACTACTTCGAGTCCAAGCTGCGGGACTTGGACGTGCAGAGGACGTCCACCGGCATGGAGAATATGAGTCTGCAGCCAGGTAGCCGTGGCCCCAACAACCCGCTGACGCCTCCCCCGAAAGACGGCTGGAACGGGTACATGCAGCAAGACCAGGGCGGCTATGGAGGCCCTCAAAGCCAGTATAGCCAGCTTAGTGGCGGAGAAGCTCTACAGCCTCCTCGCGCGCCATATGCTCCGCCAGCACCCGGCGCGCCCAACAAGCGGCCCAACTACAGCAAACTGGGTACATCTATACTTCTTGCGACAATGCTATGCTTTGCTAACACGCGCAGACCTCATCAAATATGACACCCCGCATCTCGGCCCCCGCATTCAGCTCATGCTGTCCCAGCTCGAATTCAAGCTCAGTGTTGAAAAGCAGTACAAGGACGGAATCGAGAAAATGGTGCGGTTATACCAGATGGAAGGCGACCGCAAGAGCAAGCAAGATGCCGAGGCCAAGCGTATCGAGAGTAACCAGAAGATTCAGCTGTTGAAGCACTCATTGAAGCGTTACGAGGATCTCCATGTCGACATTGAGGGCGATGCTGGCGGCGATGGTAAGCTCCAACTAGACTAACTGCCGATATATACTCATCCTACGCAGACGATAGCTTGAACATCCCAAGTCAAAGAAAACCTTTGAGCGGTCACCTTTCCCTACGCGTACACGCCGTCGCCGATGTCGACCACGCAGCCACTGGGCGCTTTAGTCGAGGCCCAGAAACTTTTGTCAACATCAAGGTCGAAGACGCAATCAAGGGTCGTACAAAGCCCACAAGGAACGACCGTTGGACAGACGAAGTCCACGACTTTGCCATTGACAAGGCCAACGAAATCGAGATCACTGTATACGACAAGACGGGCGACCATCTTCTGCCCATCGGCATGCTTTGGGTCCGCATATCAGACATTGCTGAGGAAATGCGAAGGAAGAAGATTGAGACGGAGCTTGCAAACTCCGGCTGGGTGGCTGCCGACAAGATGGGAGGCGCAGCTGGCATTCAACCCGATATGCAGTTCCAACCGCCACCAGGACAGAACTTTTCAGGCGCCGGTTCTGGCCCCGGGGGTGCCCCAGGTGTTGCAAGACCGCAGGGTGGTCCTCAGCCCCAGACTGGTCCCATTATGATTGACGATTGGTTCTCGCTGGAGCCGGTAGGTCGTATCCACCTTACCATGTCCTTTGCCAAGAACACCGGCAACAAGCAGCCTTTCGATCTTGGTCTTGGTCGTAAAGGTGCCGTTCGTCAGCGTAAAGAGGACGTCGTTGAGCAATACGGACACAAGTTCGTCCAGCAGCAGTTCTACAACGTCATGCGTTGTGCTCTCTGTGGAGAATTCCTCAAGTATGCCGCTGGTATGCAATGCTCAGACTGTAACTATACGTGTCACAAGAAGTGTTACCCCAAGGTTGTCACCAAGTGTATCACTCAGTCCAACGCCGAAACCGATCCAGACGAGGCCAAGCTCAACCACCGCATTCCCCATCGCTTCGAAAACTTTTCCAACATGGGCGCCAATTGGTGCTGTCACTGCGGTTATGTCCTTCCCCTTGGTCGGAAGCAAACCAAGAAGTGTAACGGTAAGTGATTACACCATCTTGACTTGTAAAACTCACTAACGGTTGTTCAGAATGTGGTCTCACCTGTCACGCACACTGCGTTCACTTTGTACCCGACTTCTGCGGTATGTCGATGGAGGTGGCTAATCAGATTTTGATGGAAATCAAAAAGGCGAAAAGAGGTCAATCATCGTCAGGCCCAAGTATGAGCCAACGAACCCTACGAGAGAAGCCGTCAAAACCTCTGCCACCAGCGCAACCACAATCACCTGGCCACCCTGGACAGGAGCAAGCACAGTCTGACAGGTACTCTTACGGTAAAGAGCAAATGAGTCCTCCACCAGGCCCTCCACGACAACAATCCTATCCTACATCGGCAGCGTCAATCGATGCGGCACGGGCATCTTTCTCTACGTCTGGATCTTCTGCCGCTCCCACATCGCCTACTGCAAGTTCGCGACCCTCATCAGGCCCACGCACTCAGTCTTCCGTGGCTGCGGCTGCAGCTGCCATGAACAAGACTGCAGCTCAGCCTGCCTATGGCCGTAGTAACACCGACTACCAGCCGCAGAGCGGAAGGTCATCAGGTAGCGGATACCCAGCAGACCAGCGCATACCACAGCAACAGGCTCCTCAACCAGCTACCTACGACCCATCGGCCTATGCGAACATTCCCAACTACCCACCGAGCCATCAACAGCCTGCACCAATGCCATCTTACCCGCAAAAGTCTTCGTACCCGCTACCACAACAACCGCCACAGGCACAACAGCAGCCTCCGCAGCAGAAGATGCAAGAACCTCCAGCGCCCGCGAAACAACCCCCCTCCGCAGTGATAGAGGCACCAGGAAAGAAGGTCACGCCTGCAGCCAACACACAAGGAACTGGAAAGAGGATAGGCTTGGACCACTTCAACTTCCTCGCGGTCTTGGGTAAGGGTAACTTTGGAAAAGTCATGTTGGCAGAGACAAAAAGCACCAAGCAGCTTTACGCTATCAAGGTTCTGAAGAAGGAGTTCATCATTGAGAATGACGAAGTAGAGAGCACGCGCTCAGAGAAGAGAGTCTTCTTGATTGCCAACAAGGAGAGGCATCCGTTCCTACTGAGTCTGCACGCATGTTTCCAGACCGAGACCCGTGTGTACTTTGTCATGGAGTACATCAGTGGTGGTGATTTGATGTTGCACATTCAGAGAGGCCAATTCGGCACCAAGCGCGCACAGTACGTGTACGAAACGACAAGAGAAGAACCATTGCTAACGATGACATAGGTTCTACGCGGCTGAGGTCTGCCTCGCACTGAAGTACTTCCATGAGAACGGTGTCATCTACCGAGATCTTAAATTGGATAACATTCTACTCACTCTAGATGGACACATCAAGATTGGTGATTACGGTTTGTGCAAGGAAGAGATGTGGTACGGATCAACCACCAGTACCTTCTGTGGTACTCCCGAATTCATGGCACCAGAGGTAGGTCACATGATCCAGTATACCAGAAAGCTGCTAACACAAGTCTGTAGATTCTTCTCGACAAGAAGTACGGCCGAGCAGTCGACTGGTGGGCTTTTGGTGTTCTCATCTACCAGATGCTTCTCCAGCAATCGCCCTTCCGTGGTGAAGACGAAGACGAAATCTACGACGCCATTCTTGCCGACGAACCACTCTACCCCATTCACATGCCGCGCGATTCCGTATCAATCCTCCAGAAATTGCTTACCCGTGAGCCTGAGATGCGTCTCGGATCTGGGCCGACTGACGCGCAAGAGATCATGTCACATGCTTTCTTCAGGAACATCAACTGGGACGACATTTACCACAAGAGAGTAGCCCCACCGTTTACGCCGCAGATCACTAGCCCGACGGATACTAGCAACTTTGATACCGAGTTTACAAGCGTCACACCTGTGCTTACACCCGTGCAGTCTGGTACGTTGACACATCCCCACCGCTCATTTCTGTATATATGTGCTTTTACTAATGACGTGTTTAGTGCTTTCGCAAGCCATGCAGGAAGAGTTCCGTGGCTTCTCGTACTCGGCTGATTTCGCCTAAGCTTGCCTTGCCTTACATTTGATACCCTAGGCTTCGTTTGGGAAAATGGGTTGTTCCTTTTGCTTTTGTGTTAGCGTGCTCAACAACTGCCTTGGCGACGAATGGGCGGTGGGAAGGGGTGCACCAGTACGTATCTTTGTTAGCATCAAAAGTGCAGCGTGCTAGTGTAATAATGTCTCGAGTGAACGGTAGAAGGGTATAATCACGCATGGATATGTTCGGCTCGAGAAGGACTTTTGTATTGGCGCGGTTTACTGTAGGGTGAGATGTTTCGGGAGTGAACAATTGAGCGATGATCCAGCAAGGACAACCGATATTACAGGATAGACGAAACAAGTTCCTTCGATTTCATATCACGCTTTATCTCTGATACTCGCGCTCCGAGCAGAGGACTCGATTTGTTCACTGACCCTCAGTAAGCACCCTCGTCCAGTCAAACTTTCTCCACCCCTTTCTCCAGCTTTCCAACCTTCTATCTCCCTTGACCCATCTGCCCTGCCTCTTGACAACCTCAACATCTACATCGAGCATACCTCCCAAGACTTCTCTAGCAAACAGATCGCCCCTAGGCCAGGCCCTCTCGTCTTCCACAATGTGTCCCAGCCCGCCATCAAGCTCAAACCAAACATGGAAATACGGCATCTCCTTTGCCAAACTCCGGCGGAAAGCCTGTTTACCTAGGCCATCCCGACTCGCCTTCTGCGTATTGATGAGCGGTTTATGCTGCGTCCAGTCGCTGGCTTGTTCAAGGATGGCTTCCTTGAAGAAAGCAGGCGCCGTATCACCTAGCTCGAAGGAAATAGGTACAGCATTCAGAGCCGCATGACCCTTTCTACCAGGAAAAGCAGCATTTTCATAAAAGACGACGTCACGACCTTGTTCGTGATACATGCGCGTTAGGCACTTCATGAAGTTACGCAGTTCCTCCCACTCGTCGTCGTCGCATTCAAGAAGGTTTGTGCGGTGTTGAATGGGGACTATGACGGCGCCACCAGAGCTAATCTCAGGTTCTGTAGGGAGAGTCAAGAAGACGCGTGTTGCTAAGCTGACGATGGGAGCTACGGGTGGCTGCGGGGGTGATTTATCTTCATGGTGGCATAACGGACAGGAATCGAGTATCTTGTTCATCTTTGTGTAGTCTTGGATTGCAGCGTTGCGTAGGTTGATTGAGGACTTTGGGGCGCGGGCAGCGAGTTTGGTAGCGTTGTCGTCAATGTAGTCGAGGTCGTTGTCGAACTTTGAGTCTTTTGCTATCTTTTCAGCGAGGATAGCACCTTCGCCACCTGCTTGGTTCTTGGTGCGGCGTTCTTGCCGGACCATGTCATCGATGGACATGTCTTCGTTTTCTTTGACAAGACCGCGCTCGGTCCCACGTTTATTAGTCAGGGCTATGACTTCTCCTTGACGGCCGCCGGCTAACATGCGATTGTCCATGGCGTTTAGTACGACGACGTCGCGATCTTTGGAAGTTGAAGTGTTGGCCAGGGCGGCGTTGTACTCAGCTTCTAGCTGGGCTGCTTCAGGGGCTTTCTTCATCTTCGCCTTCATCATCTGAGCTTTCAGCCTGTTGAGCTCGGTCTGGCTGAGCATAACGGTATTCGTTGTCGGTTGAGGATCTTGTACTAGTTCTCCTTGCGGTAGTTCTGAAGGTTCGTGCGACTCGCGAGACTGTCTGTGGATGCCTTCCTTGAGCTTCCGTTCTTGGAAGAGTTCGCCGGATGGTTTCTCTTTACCAACGTAGTCTTTACCATACATCTTTCTGCGGTCCAACTCAATCTCCTCTTCGCGCGCCTCATCAAAGTCTCGTAGATCGCCGTACTTCTCCATTGCTATTTCTTCCACGCTTCGCCCTGATTCCTCGGCGTTCCGGTAAATGCCCTTCAGCTTCGTCATACGCCATTGTGCGCCCGAGTCGCCAAATGTGTAGCTTACTTCTCTCTGCGCAGGCTCTTCAGCAACGGTTTCTTGGCCCTTGAGATCCGCCAAACCACGGTTCAGTTCTGCGTGATGTATCTTGAGCGCAGGTTGTCCCTCATCCGACGCTCTTACGTATGTAGCCTTCTCTTCCCTCTTCTTCCGCTGCACGTAGTCGACGTCCATAGATGACGGCGCCTTCATCCAGTCGTCGCGTTGCAGATCTGCCGTCGCCGCGTCTTCGAGTTGTTGGTCTAGAATGTCGTCGTCTGGCGGCGCATAGTCCTTTTCCTGGGGATCCTCACCCCCAGAAGACTCATCTTCGTCGTAGTGTCGCGACTTACGCTTTCGCGTCAATCGATCTTCCTCGTCACTTGACGCGGGCTCCTTGTGCTTCCGTCCCGACCGATCATCTTTGTTATCTCTTTCTTTCCTCTTCCGCCGTGCACGCTCTTCCGATGTCTCTCGATGGTGTCGCGATCGCTTGTGGCGGTGGTCTCGGTCGTCGTCGTCGTGATGGCGCGATGAACGATGTTTGTGGTGGTGCCTGTCGCGACTCCTGCTCCGATCGCGCTTTTTTCTTTCGTCCTTCTTTTTACTCTGCGCAAGTTCCTTTTCAAAGTCCTCTAGACCCATGTTTGCGACGAGTCTATGTCAATCGGTGTTGATAGGGTTAAGTCGCGTGAAGAAAGTTTGGACATGGGGTCGGAGCTAGGGCCTGACATCACCACGGCGGATTCCCTAGCGCGTCCGCATCCGCCCCGCCTAAGAATTTCTAGAACAACTCCAACTGTACAATCCACCATCACCAACGTTCCTTTAGCTGACCCTGAGTACAAGATATCGCCAGTGCTCCCCCGATATCACCCCACCATCGCGCCACGAATCCTCTCCAACCTGACCTCCACTCACTGTTCATATCTCCAATCACGCATACGACGCCCGCAATGTCCTCCGCAAATGCTCCAGAGGGCTCTGCGCCTGTCGCGAACCCCAATACACCCGTTTCGATAGTATGCGTGGGCATGGCTGGAAGTGGCAAGACGACCTTCATGCAACGTCTTGTCTCACATCTCTACACCCATCCCGATCCAACCCAAAGTGAACCCTCCGTTTCCAAGTCATCTCCGACACCACCGTACATCATCAACCTCGATCCTGCCGTTCACCATGTCCCATTCACGCCCAATATCGACATTAGAGACAGCGTCAACTACAAGGAGGTCATGAAGCAGTTCAACCTAGGACCCAACGGCGGTATCCTGACAAGCTTGAACTTGTTCAGCACAAAGATTGATCAGGTCATTGGTCTGCTGGAGAAGCGAACACAGCCGCCGCCGCCAGTAGAGGAGCCAGAACAAAGCACAGTTGAGTTCATGACGAGTGGAGGCAAGGGCAAGCAAACGGCACCGGCTCAGCAACCACAAGTGAAGCATATCTTAGTGGACACGCCAGGGCAGATCGAGGTCTTCGTTTGGTCTGCAAGTGGAGAGATCCTACTCTCAAGTTTAGCCAGTACATTTCCCACCGTCATCGCATACATCATCGACACGCCGCGCACAACCAGCACAAGCACCTTCATGTCCAACATGCTTTACGCCTGCTCCATTCTCTATAAGACAAAGCTGCCTATGATCCTTGTCTTCAACAAGACCGATGCACAAGACGCCCAATTCGCCAAAGATTGGATGACTGACTTTGAGGCCTTCCAAGCCGCCCTGCGTAACGAGGAAGAGGGTGGTAGCTTTGGCGGTGAAGGCGTGGGTGGAGGAAGTGGATACATGGGTAGTTTACTGAACAGTATGTCACTGGTTCTCGAGGAATTCTATAAGCACCTCAGTGTTGTCGGTGTCAGTGCTATGACGGGAGACGGCATGGATGAATTCTTCAAAGGTGTGCAGGAGAAGAAGGAAGAGTTTGAGCGCGATTACAAACCGGAGCTTGAGCGACGTCGGGCAGAAAGGGAGCAAGAAAAGAAGGCGACACGTGAACGTGAGTTGGACAAGATGATGAAGGACATGAAGGTTGGAGGCGCGGGCACAAAACCAAAGAGCAAGCCACGAAAAGAAGAGCCAGAGACGGTTAGCGATGCGGAAAACTCAGACGAAGCCGGCATGGTGGATGACCTAGACTACGAGGATGAGATGGACTCAGATGACCCAGAGAACGGCCTGAAGGAGCGATACAGACAGGCTGTCCAGGATCGTGGAGTCGACCAGAACGAGGATCATAGCTTCGCACGATACGTCAACATGGCAAAATTCACATGAGAGAAACAACCAACAATGCAAAGATACCCGACTCTAGCTATGATAAATGGTTGGGCTTTCACATTGCACGATAGGCGGCCTCGTCTCCAGATTCCTGGTTCAGCTCGGAAAGACACGCGGGCATGTACATGTAAGACCGCGAACAGAGATGTTGTTGAGAGGATTACAAGCGACGTGCATTCGTTGACGGGCCGCAGCGAGACGCCGTGTCAGTGTTTCGCATACCAACCAACACGACGTTTGCACAGGCATGCGCACTGATCCCTTTTAACCCACGCTTCTCGATGCTAAAATGAGTTTGACACGTACAAACTGGCCGTTTTTGCCTCCACATCTTGCCTTCTCGCCATCATGGCTTCGTTATACCCTCATATTTTCATGTCTGTTTTCGTTACCACAGGCGGGGATGCGCTTGTTTTACCAAAAGAGACGAAATTCAGGAAGCGAATGTTCCACTACAGTGCAGGCAGGGCAGGTAGATAAGGGCAGCGAGACGATAATCCGCGATGTAAGAGAAGATATAATTAGTTACATTTGTCAGTTGTCAGCGCCATGCATGCGTAGTGTGTAAGACAAACCCAGAATTTATTGTATATGCCTTTTCAGCAGAACTCATGCTTGCGTGATTCTTGTGTGCTCTTTCGTTCAGCTTGGTCTGGTTGATGACTTGGAAAGGTCTAGACGTTGTGGTTCGCTTCGAGATGGTGTTATACAGTATGCTGAACGACCTGTTGCTGAATTCTATTCATTCAGTAGTGTAGACCAGAAACATACTGGATATCCAGCTATACGTTGTCCTACACCCTGTCCTTGAATGGTAATGCTCTAATATGTCGCGACTCATATCTCGGATCTTGCTGCGTGAACATCCATATCGCCCGAGCGCGGCATAGTCTACGTAGATCTACAGTCATGTGTTAGCTATAGCGACAAGGGTCAAAGTTCCCGACCAGGCCCTGGCTTGCAGACCGAGACACTCTGTGGCTTGCAGATTGTAAGATCGATTTGGGAAATGACAGGTCCTGTCGGGTTTCATTGAGATGGGGTACTAGGTTGTCATACTTAGTAGTGTTTAGCGGAATCATTTGTACGTACGGGAAAGGTTACTCGTTTCATGTTGGAATCATCTCTCTGGCAACATATTTGCATTCGTCCTCTTATATCGTATAACCATGGCCTTCGTCTCCTGTTCAAGTATCGGTTCGGTGTATTTCTTATTATCCTTGACTTAGATAAGGAAAGGCTGGCCCACAGCGAGATACTTTCATGGTAGGGAGCACAAGAAACCCCAAGCAAGATACTATGCAGGGCCTGCAAAGGAAAGAGGGCATTCTCGTGTTGTGAGACTGCACAACGTGGAACAAGGCGTTTTCTGCCGCCCGCAATTTATGTGCGACGTTGGCACATGGCGTTCATCTGGTGCGACCGTTGGTGAAGGCGACAGTCCAGAATCAAACAGCGTCCTCTCTGGTGGGTGTGTCAGAGAGAAACTGGGGGAGAGTGAAGAGGCGTGACGCTCCATGTAGAATAAAGGAGGAAAGGAAGAAAGCAAGAGGGATAAAAACCTTCTCCACGTCGCTGATTGCTAGCAACGATTAAAGCGAACATGTCGTTTCCCAGCTGAGCCTATCTTCACTCAACCTGCGTGACCCCATCCCAACAAACACCTCCTTACCCTCCACAAGCTGTTAGATAGCGAAGGGTGAGAGCGGCAACATAGCCAGTGTCGGCCAGCCATATAGCAAATGTGAAGCCTGTATGCAAGCCTGCTGTACAACATGCACAACATCAGAGGACCCGAACGTATCGCACCCCACAAACTCGCCAGGCCATGCTGTCTCACTCATCTCGGGATCTGCAGGCAGATAAACGAACGTCTCACGACGTCGACAGCCACTGCATCCCGTCTCGACCTGCAGCAGGCTCAGCCCAATCCAACGCTACGTCTGCGTCCAACGTCGTGCAGGGACAAGACATGCGCTGTAGGGCTGTTTCAAGGGCGCCCTGCTGTGCGAGTACCCAGGGACAGTAAGACATGGATGACTATTATAGGGGTTTACTTAGGTGTGTTGGGTGTAGCGAGTCGGGTGGTACGACTCTACGAAAATGCTGTGTCTAGCGAATGCGTGGCTTTTGTGTGACTATACGCAACCACCGCATGCATTCAGAAGTGCGAAAGGACCTTTGGAATTGCTGTCGGATGAGATCGAATGATTTGCTGACATGCATGAAGCATCGCGGCGGCTCTACCTCCGTAAGACTAGCAGCGAAAGTGAGATTAGGCAGAAAGTGACAAAAAGTGTAGAGAATATTGATCTGATGATGGAAAGCCAAACCTTGTCATTGTGTTGTATTGCCGTAGCGTACCGCTACATTCGACAGCGCGAGAGATCACATTGTGATGAACCTTATCGTACAGTTTTAAATCGTGGAACGAGTGTCCCGTCTTGCCGCGGCAGGGCACAGACGAAGACAGCGGAAGCCTATCGTGACACGGAGTTCGGTCCCAGGTTTTTCGCTGTTATCCAGAGATGCTCGTCGAACTCAGTAAACCCAGCCACAACGTCGATCTTCGAGTTGAAAACCCAATTTCTTTTCGTATCGCTGCAGGCTGCATGGTGTTGAGAACTACGTTCTGCTGTCGCATATGCTTACTGCAGATCCGCAAACTTCCGTATGCACCACCAATATGCTGCGTGCGAAACATGGAACGATACAAAAAGGAAAAGCGAAGGATCATTTCTGATGCAGATATGATGTCACTGAGAGCATGTGCAAACAAGATGGGTCTGTATATCCGCCATGCACAGATTGTGATACAGAGAGGTTGGCAAGTGAGCCGAGTTTTGATGCAGGCATGAAATCCGTGATCCGGCGTCAAGTCGGATGTGGGGTCCTCCCAAGGCGGAAGTCGCAACCCAGAGGGCCGTTTGCCAGGTTGGAGGCCTTGCGACGCAGAGAGCCGTCGACTCGAACTGGTCCCCTCAAAGCCAAGGAAATGACTCCTGGTGATGTTGGGGAATAAAGTCCCCGGAAAATGACCTGTTGTTTGGATAGAGTTTGTCTGCGACGATTCCCGAGCCAATGGCGAGTTGTGGAGGAGCGTCCTTCCGATTCGGGGTATCCGGGCTGAGGGTTCTTGTGCAGATCGTTAAGGTTCGAGTCTAACCTCGAAAAAGATCTGCAGGGTCATCAGCGTTGCGAAAGCCTTTATTAGTGGGTCACTAGCGTGTGGGCAACCGATCTTTTCGCAGCTGTGAAAAGGTTGAGGAGAGGCCGTTGGACGACATTAGTTGGCTAGACGCCGCGGAGCATAAGGGTAGCGGTGGCGTGTTGATGGAAACGAGATTCCGGGATAAGCTTTGGAAGTGGTTGTTCCAGCTAGTATGGCTGGGCAAGCTGTCGTACCATGGATCAAAAGCGGGCAATAGTGCGTTTGGCACGAACTATGAGCTGACGGCGGGGTACCAATCCACAGTTCGCGACCGTTTCTTGTCGTCACGATTGCATGTGGAAAGCCACAAGTCTTGTATGGCTGTGAGAGATTGTAAGAGGTTGGAGATCGGCTGCACTTTCCATGGTTCGCATATACCGTTGAGGTCACGCAGGCGCATCACGCAAATGGCAAGTTGGTCAGATGAGTTTGTAATGATTCTTTGGATTGTTTTTGTTTTGCGAGTCCGCAGACTTCCGTAGAGTGTTGCAATTAAGAAAAATCAAAGGTTGATGCACCTTGAGTAAGGGCGGGTATCCATATTGCCGATTCCGGGCTGAAATCCCTATGTTTGAATGTCATCCTCCACATGCACTGCCAAACAATGAGGTTGCTAGTGACAATGACAGAAGGAAATAGGCTATAATCAGCCCATGTACCGAAGTAAATGCAGCCGATAGTATGTACAGAGAAAAAGAAAAGAAAAGTGTGCGACGATGCGCACCACTCCCAAACGCCCAGTTCCGTTCGTAGCCATGACGGCATGCGTCTATTGTTCCGTCGGACTTTTGGACTCCATGATGTCGTGGTCGTAGCCATAAGCGCCAAGCTCTAGAAATCCGGTGGCCTGATGGTATAGCAGGCCGAAGTAATGATCAAGGATTTGATCGGATGAACCATGAAAGAGAAGTATTAATGCAGTGACTATGACTCAAACTTGCGCTTCTCACCGCTTGCAGCGATGGCGAGTGCGTCCAAGCCACCGTATTGGGTGGCGGCGGGGTTGTAGCTGTAGTTGGCGGGGTCGGGGTACCGGGAGCTGGGAGAGAAGTCGATGAAGGCATCAGTAGACTGCACGGCGGGCGCCATGGAAAATCCGGAGGGGCTGAGGGGAAGCGTCGGATCAACCATGGAAAGCGATGACAAGGAAGGCATCGTCGACTGGAGGGGTGCCGGCTTGGGTCGCTTTGCCTGGTGTTTGGCCTTCTTGACGTCGCGGTCTCCACCCTTGGCCGCGTTGCGGCCACTCTGGTGAGTGCGGCGGTGCTGCTCCATGTTGTCCTTGCGGGTAAAGGCCTTGTTGCACTCGGGGCAGAAAGCATCCTTCTTGCCAGTGTGCTTCTTTGCGTGGCGGGCAGCATGGCCCGAGGTGGTAAAGAAGTCGTTGCACTGGAATTGCTTGGCCATAGGGCAAGGATAGCTGTTCTTCTTGGGTCGCGCGTTCAGGGCGGAGGGATCCTGGTGTTGCTCGGAGAGCTGTTCGGGCCTGAAGTAGCCTGCCTGCGAGGGGTTGGCGTGGTAGGGGAGAGGGCCAGACTGGTGGTGCATGGGGAAGCCGAGATCCTTCTGGTGGTGGAAGAATCCATTTTGCGAGAAGACGGGCGAGTCCATGCCGGGCTCGTAGGAAAAGTCTGGAGTAATGGGCGAGGGCGTCTGCATGTTGGAGTCTGACGAGTCGCTGCGGACGAGGCGGGGTGGTGAGGGTTGGGGGGAGGAGGAGTAACTGGAGGTCCTAGACTGGAGGGAAGGAGTGATGGAGGGAAGTCGGACAAGTTGAGGAGGCGCC